AATAGAACAAATACCTGATTGTTATTTGAGTAATTGTGTTCAAATACCTTATTGTTATTACAATTTGAATTTAATTGGTGGTATATTACCAAATGATTATTATAAGGGATATAATTTACTAAATTCACCAGTTCCAACCCTATTTGAACAAACAGGATGTTCTAATATTGATGAATCAAGCTTAAAACCATAGTCAATGTAAGAGAAAAATAACAAGAATAAGATATTTGATATGATTTACTTTACTTAGACTGTAGTTATATAACATAACATTTATTACAATACTCTTTTAAATCTATTAAAAGAAAAGAAAAAGAGTAATGAAGTAAATGTTATATATAAATAATCTAAGTACAGCAAATATAATTAAATTTTTATTCTTTATTTTTATCTTAGTTTTAATAATATATTTCAAATACAAAGATAAATGGATATAATATTTTATATATTTCAATATAAATTTATTTTATTTTAAATTATTATTGATTCATATATTTTTTATATTATTTTTATCAATATAATTGATATTATTTCACTTTTTATTATACATACTTATTATTAACACTTTTCAAATGATGAAAAATAAGAGAAGTTTAACAATAATCATCATTTCATTTGATTGTAATTTTCATAAATAATAGCAGAACAAAAATATTTCATAATTAAATAAAATGAACCAGAATCAATATTTTTATTATAATTTAATTTATTATTTGAATAAGAAATTAGAAATTATTTTACTATTCAATTACTCATCATTTAATATAATTTCATTTTATATTAACTTTATTTTATTTAATTCATTATTTTTATTTGAAAGAATGAGTTAGTTTTAACACTAATGATTTGTTTATTATGATCAATAATAGTGTTTATGAGACACCCATATTGTAGTATTATTAATGATTATTTTTATAAGCCATTTACAATTGATTTGGTTACTATTTTCATTATTTTATCAAAATTTATTTAACATTAAGCAATTGATTTTATTTTAATTAGATATAACAATAAAACTTTATTCAGTAGAAAATAATGGTATTTATTTAAAGACTAATGTAAATATTATTTTCTTTTATCACTTTTATTTATTCTATCAAAGACCATCATTTCTAGTTTATGTTCATTAATATAATTTGTTATTCCATTATTGTTTCTATATTCTTATTTGTTAGATTTATACTTTTATATTCTATTTGTTATTTTACACTAATAAAGATTAAGAATATTCATTGTTAATGAATCAGTTCAATAGTTATTCTGTTCATTTATTATTTTTATACTATGATTTTATTTTTCTTATTATTCGAAGAATTTTATAAATAAGTTAGTTCATATTATTTAATATCTTTTGTTTTCCATTAATTAACTTTTAAAAAAAAAAAAAAAAAAAAATTAAAACAAATTCAATATTATTTGAATTTCTTCATAAAAACAACCCAAAAAATTGTTTAAAAAAATTGAATTTATTCATAATGGTATATATTTTGAATAAACCCACATTCTTCAAAGGACATCTCTGACAGATAATCTTGTTGCAAATAATCACAGTTTATTTTTGCGAAACAACTGATATCAACAACATCTGGATTATTTTGTGGCATAGCTTCATTATAATTTAAATTCTCAAAATTCACCAACCTTGGATCTACATTAATTAATGATACATTATGATCAATTTGTGTGTACTGGTGGTCACCAAAATGATAGTCTATTTTGTTATATGATAGAATATCTTCCAGTGAACCACTATGGCTAATAATATCCAATTCTTGTTGTAAAGTTTCTGGATATTTATTTAATTGTTGGAATGGTTCAGATACACTATATGAACAATGTTCTAATACTTGAGAACTAATATGGTCATTAATACAATTAAATTGATATTCATCAAAAATTGGATATTCTAAGAACTCTTCTTTTGATAATTTAATGTTATTTTGATCATTGATATTATTATTAGATATTTCATTATAATAGTCTTTATTCCCAATAAAAAGACCTTTTGGTTGATGTTTATTTGTTTTTAATAAATATGGACAAAGAAATTTATATACTGGAGTTCCAATTTTTTCTAAAACTTCTTCATTCTTATAAACACCAATAACTTCACCATCTTTATTTACTAAAGGGAGTTTTTGATATTGTTGACTGCTAACCCCATCTTTTGAACTTTTTGTATAAAATAAATTAGTATAACACCCAATATCTCCATATTTATTATAATATTCATTAAGAATATTCATAATAACAAGTTCATTATAAGTTAATTTCTTTTTCTTTTTTGTTTTATCTGTCTCAATTGATGTTTTCTTTATAGGAATTCCTTCATTATCAAAGTTTAATTGAACAATTCCTTTTTCTGCTTTAATTAAATCATATTCAAGGATTTCATCAAACATTATTACCCCATTTTGATTCCATATTTTTTGAATCGGGAAGAAATGGTTTAACTTTCCTGCTATTCTTTTCTCTTTTGAAAAAAGAAATGACCATCCTTTAGTTATCAGATAATAACACCCAGACAAGATATACTTTCTTCTTTTATTTGTCGATTCTCGTTTATTAGAGCATGTAGAGTGTTTTCTTGTTGGCTTTTGTAGCTTTAACTCTTCTTTTTAACTTATATTAAATAAAAATTGAAGTTCTTTTTATATTAAATAACTATTTTTGTCAAGCCAATTTCAATAAACATCATTAATCTTTTTATATGGAATAAAAGAATAGTTTATTTATGATTTTTTTGTTGATTTTTTCTTTGAAACTTTCAATTCCTCTTTCATTTATACCTTTTTTAAATTTGCAAAGTAGAATGATTATGAAGAATTTATGATTTACTTATGAAAAATAAAGGGTTAAAAAAAATTATGTCTAATATTATCTGTATTATTTTAATTTTTTGTTGTATTCTTAAAAATCAAAGAATTATTTATTTTAATTTATTTTATAATAAAAACTTTCTATATAAAACTAAAAATATTTATAATTATTTATTTTTTATTCTTTTGAGCTAAAATCAATTTAACATTCTATAATTTTATAAGAGATAAGTTTACATAATTCTTTTTCTAGTGTTATTTTGTTTCTTTTTTTAGTTATTAATTCTAAATTTAATATACTTCAAAAAAATTATCAACATAGTAAAATTTTACTTTTTTAATTGATAGTGTATTATTATATCTTATATTCAATAACATTTATTATACTTTAAAGAATATTGTATTCTCAGATAATTAAAGTATGACATTATATCTTTTTATCTAATAAATTGATAAAGATGTGTAAGTATAGATTATTATAATCTGTAATAGGTTACATTTTTTTTAAATTTTCATGTTATTTATTTATTTTTGTTAAAATAAATATTTTCAAAATGAAGTTGATGTATACCCCCTAAATAATAAAAATATATTATTGAATAAAATATATTATTCTCTAAAATAATAAACATTGTATTGATATTTATTGTCATATAATGATGTTATATTCTTATTTATAATGTTATTTGTTATTATTATTTAACATTACTTGATTTAAATTCAAACTGATGAAACCAATAATTTAATACAATGAATTAAATTAATATTAATGTTATTTTACATATAAACATGTTATTTTCTTATTTCTTAAAGTATTATTTAATTGTATATGTTTATAAGATAATATCAAAACAATACATCTTTGATTTATTTGATTCTATTATTCAATAAATGATAATAGTTGAACTCTCTTTTAGTTTAGTTAAATAATTATTTTATATTAAAATAAGTGTGTTATTTTATTGATTATATTTTGTATTTTATTTGAGTATAATTTTTTATTGTTTTTCATAGTGAATTTATGTTTATTTTAATCTTCATAATTTGAAAATCATATTATTACAAATACTAGAAATATATTCTACAATAATTACTAATATTCATTGAGAAACTAAAAGATTGTTTTCATTAATAGATAATTTAATGAAATAAACTGGTATCAATATTTTTATTGTTTATATTATTTAACAAGATATTATTTTATCAAAGAATAATATTAAAATAAGTGTGGTTATTCTGTATTCAAATATGAAAAAGTAATTTGTTTTGTTTAAATGGATGAGGATTAACTGAATTACTCTTCAAAGATGAGTTAAATTATAATAATGTTCTTCTTATTAGAGCTTTACTTAAAGATATAACAATTAACAACTCTCATATGATATTGTAATTTTTGATTGTCAACTAAAAAATGTTCAAAACTAAAAAAAATAGAAATTATAAACAAGAAAACTCAATTTACTTATAAAATAAAATTAAATTAAAAAAAATAGAATTCTCAATATAAGTGATGGCTTTCAAAAAGAGTTAATAGATACAACCACTCCATGAAATGAAAATAATTCTAATTATTATTTATTAAGTCTTCTAATAAATTAATTGTAATTATTCATCTAATTATTACAAAACACCTCTATACATAAAATTTAAGTTTATTAATCAGAGAATAATGAAATCAACAAAGAATAAAAGTATAAAACAATGATTCAATCATTTAAGTAATAATCTAAATACAATATTACAACACTATGAAATCTATCATAAAATTAATAAAAAAGACATACTCAAATGATCAATACAAAAGATTAGTATTCCTTCTTTTATAAATTGATTAACTTGTGTTGTTAATATGAACGTATTGAAAAGAGTCATCAATAAATAATAAATTAAGTGAAATAATAATATAAAATAAATTAAAATATTCTGACAATTCGAGATAAAGAATGGAACTTGATTGATATAAATTTATATTACATTATAGAATTGCCCATTACAAAAAGACATACAAATATAATTCAAAACAATATTTACATTATTTTAACTAATTTATTTCGTTTGAATAATGTTATTATTTGTTATCATTTTAAAACAATAAAAATAAATTAAATTTTAGACATCAATTAAACTAAAAGAATATACCATTATTTAAAAACAAATTGGTGGAGATATATTAAGATAACTTTAAAACGCTCCAAAAACATTTGGTTGTCCTGAATAATTACCATTAAATTCTCCAAATGGGGTGTATCCTTGTGGTAATTGTTGATTATTTTGATTAACAATTGGCTGAAATGTATATTGTTGAGGAAACATTGATTGAATAACTGAACATATTTCAAATAATGTATTATTTTGTTCTATGTCTAATCCTCCAAGAACATTCATTAAATGAAATTGTAATGTATTATATTCCATACCTGCCATTTTCTCACAGATTGATTGAATCCCTGCTTCAACTGTAGTAATTTTTGTTTCTTCTCTTCGAGTTAGACTACTGAGACGTTCAAGAAGAATTGTATTTGAAGATAATAATGCTAATTCAAAAACTTTTCTTTGTGTTATAGAACTTGGAATTGGAAGATCATTCTTTCTAGGTTTTTTTGTTTCAGTTTGTTGTTGTACTAAAGGTTTAGTAAGTATTTGACGAGATTTCTTTGTTCCATCAATTTTTGATGTACAACGAATTGGATACGAAATTACTTCTCCAACAACAATTCCATTATTAGAAACAATTGCTCTAATTTTAAATAACATGTCTTCATGTTTACTTGATAAAACACTTAATTTACATTCAATATTAATAGCTTCATTAGAAACTTGTTGTACTTTATATGAAATTGGTTTTTGTGATACATAAGGAACAAGTTTTAATTCTGGTATATCATATAATAATTCGCATGTTACTTCAGCATTTTCTATCGGTTCAATACTTGTTAGACACAACATAAAATTTGTTTGTTTCACAACAACATAAACTTCATTTTTACCTAATTTTTCAGTCATAACACATGTTTGTCTCTCTAAAAACACCTTTCCCATCTTATTTTCTTTACTTGCTTTTCAGTTAATTAAGATCACTTTTTTTTTTTTTTTTTTAAAAAAAAAGGGGTTTTTTTAATTTTAACTTTTATGTTCTATTTTCTTTTTACTTTTTGATTTTTTACTATATTTTATTATACTTATTTCATTTTTTATTAGAATACTTCTTTTTAAGTTCATTGAAAATTTGAAGAATTTGTTCTTTTATTTCTATTAATAGATTCGTTGTTTTTTTTCTATCTTTTTTAGTTTGTTATTTCGGACGATCTGATAATTTTATTGGTATAGTAAATAATTTAAATAAATATTGTTTCATATAATTCTAAATTCTCAGATTGTGTAAAAATATATCAATAGTTCAAATTTAAATATAGATAATAAACTCGAAAATAATAATAGATAATTTATAAATCATAATTTTTAAGAATAAAAAACATATTATTATTTTCTGTAATAAATAACAAAAACAAAAAACAAATTTAGAACCCTAAAATGAAAAAAAAAAAAAACAAGAAAGAAAACAGATGGAGGATTTACTTCACGATTATTTAATTGTTGATACAAATATTTTTCTTCGTGATACTGGAGCAAAGCTAAATCGATTTGCACACCATATTGTTACAGTTGAAGATGTAATCAAAGAAGTAAAAGATGAAGTATCACGACATAGATTAGAAACCCTTCCATATGATTTAGAGTTATCTGAACCTAAACAAGAGGATATTGATTATACTATCCGATTCTCAAAAGAAACTGGAGATTATAGAAATTTATCATTACAAGATATTAAAGTCATTGCACTTGCTGTACGTTATGTCAGAGAAAAATTACCATTTCTTGAACTTGCAAAACATCCTGGAGATTCAAGAAAAGTGATGAACGAACAAGAACGATTAAAAAAAATTCACGAACTAAAACAAATAAAATCTAATAAGAAAGAAGAAAATGAAATACAAAAGAGTAATGAAGAACATAAATCACTAACATGGACTATTCCTGTAAAAAGTGAAGAAGATAAAGAAACAGAAGATCCAAGATTTCCAAAATTAGGAGAAATGTTAAATGCAAAAACAAGACCTAAAATTATTACTCAATATGATTATAATCCAGAAGAAGAAGAACATAAAGAAAAGATTAATGTATTTGCAGAAACAGATGAAGAAAGTGAAGAAGATAAAGAATATGATGATTATAATGAAGTATTTGATGAAGATGAAGAAATAGAAGAAGATAATGAAGAACATGAATCAGAAGAGACATTAATAAAAGAAAAAGAAATAAAAGAAGAAGAAATAAAAGAAGAAGAGGATAAAGATATTGGTAAAGTTAGAATTGATCAAAATGAAGATAATCAAAGAACCGAATTTATTGTTACTAAAGCACCAATCAAAAAAGAAAAAGAGGTTGAAATTGATGAAGAAGGATTTATTAGTGTAAGTAAAGGAAAGAAAAAAGAAAATAAAAAGAAAGATGATGGGTTTGGAGAATGGATTACACCAACAAATTATCATCAATTAACAAAGAAAACGACATTTGAAAAAAAAACAATTAAACCATTACGTGTTGTTTGTATGACTTCTGATTATACAATGCAAAATGTAATGATGCAAATGGGAATTCGAGTAATGTCTGTTGAAGGAAAAATGATAAGAAAAATAATGAAATGGATGTTAAAATGTCTCATTTGTCAAGAACAAATTTTTGATATGACAAAAATGTTCTGTCCAAAATGTGGATATCATGATTTAAGACGTATTTCCTATTATGTATTAGCAAATGGATTAATTAAAGAAAACTTTAATGCAAATAGAACACTTAGTAAACGTGGTAGAATTTATAATATTACTGTTCCTAAAGGAGGTAAAGATAAAGGGATTATATTAACTGAAGATGTTTATAATGAACGTATTAAAGCAGCAAAAAGAACAGCAAAAAAACATAATAAAATTACTGATGGATTTGGAGTTACTACTCTTGCAGAGAAATCTGTGGTTATTGAGAATGGAAAAAAGAATCCTAATGTTGCAAGAAGAAAAATAGGAAAGAAAAATAAGAGACTTCAAAAGGATTATTAACAGTGTGTAAAATGTTATTATTTCTTGTCAACATTCCTTTTAAAGAAATGACATTAATAAGTGATTTACAAAATTAGAAAAATTACTTTTTAATTTATTTTTTATTTAATTTTATAATAAAATTCTTATTAAAAGAAATAAATATTAACTGATTTCAGTTGTTCTAATTTATGCATTAAACAAACTCTGAAATTAGAATGCATATGGCATACCTGGGAGAGTGCCTGAGAATCCATCAAAGAATTGGATGAATGGATCAACATAATAACGACTTGTATAATATGTCAAATAATCATCAGTCAAAGAATATTCTATGTCTTCAGTTTCATCAATTTCTTCAATCTCTTCTTCGTTATCTTCTTCCTCATCATCACTTTCTCCTCCTTCAAGTGCCTCAAGGTCTTCATCAAGTTCAGCATCAAGATCATCATCAAGGAACATATCTTCTTCATTATCACCAAGTTGATATTCTTCATATTCATCATTATCAAATTCATTCATATCTTCGATATCTTCTTCTTCTTCATTTTCTTCATTATTTTCTTCTGTTTCTTCTTCTTCATTATTTTCCTCTGTGATTTCTTCTTCACTGTCTTCAATTTCATACTCATCATCGTTTTCTTCTTCATCGTTTTCATATTCAACATCATTTAAAGCATATTCTTCTTGTGAGTCACTCTACAAACCAATAAATATTTTTCTTCTTAACTTTCAAAATTCCTTCTTTTATGTAATTATGTTGTAGTTTACGAAATAAACAACATAGACAATATTTTGATTTTTCACAATAAATCATTCTGATATTAAAAGGAATGTGCTTCATTATATAAATAATAAAAACAAACAGTAAATAACTCTACATCTGCAGCATCAACTTCGTATGCATTGGCAACAAAAAGCACCATTAGTAAAAACAAAAATGCCTTCATTATGATAATATAAAATATAATTTCTAAAATTCTTTTTCAGTTCTTTTTATTTTTTTTGTAATTCTTTTTTATTATTTTTTGTTCTTGACTTTTCTTGTTTTTTATTTATCTTTTTAAATGAGGACATAGCATAAAATAATGAATTGAGTTTTATATGATTTCCATCATTTCCTAACATGTCAACTGTTTTGGAAAGAAACCATTGAGTTACTCTTCATAACTTCTATGAGAACAGTACTCAGAATTCATAGTCTCTTCTTGTTTTTTCAATTCTAATGCACTAATAAATCCAGGATAGTTCATTGTTGACCGTTGTTGATTTGATCTTTTTCTATTATTCATTTCTTCAAATTCATCTAGTTCACTAGGATAATACTCTCCCCACTCTGATGCAATTTGGTTCATTTGCTCAACAGTGAGTTCAACTGAGCTTACTGAGATTGGAGATGCTGGTTGATATTCCATAAACCCAAATGGGTTTTTTGTTGTTCTGTTTTTCCTCATTTCTGTTTCTTCTTATAGATTTCTTTAAGTGTTGTTGTCTCTTCATTCTGAGAAATGATCAAAAGGTTATGATGAAAAAGAATTGTTTCTTCTTGTCAAAAGATGTTTTTCGTTTTTGGACTAAAGAGTTCTACCATTTATGTTTTAGTTATTAGAGATACCATTGTTGAAATTAAAGGTATTATTTGATGAATACCACAAGTAATTGTATGAATAAAACAACTAACAACTAGGTTATATCATTTTACTTGAATACTTAAAGCATGGATAATAACTTATATTATTTCTTGGATGTAGATGATATTTGTTTATTGTTTGATTTATTTTGAATGTACCCATTCAATAAACATATAGTTTCAAGAATTAATTTATTGTAGATTGTCATGATATCAGATACACTTTATCAATAATAATAAATAAGAGAGTTAATTATTGTTAGATTCAAAAAAGTCATTTTGTTCATGATAAAATAGTAAGTAATATTAGATCATAGATAACATGTTAAGTTTATTTATGAATTAAAACATTAAATAGATGGAAACAATAATTGTTAATATTCTAAAAGTCTCAATTATTATAACATGAATATTCTATGATAGAAATAGTTAATTATAATGGATAATCAAATGAATAAGATCAATGAGTTATTAAATTAATTATAAACATAAATAAACACATTTATTGAAATTATCTTGATTAATTTTCTTGAATAGAGAAATTTAATAACAATTAGAATAAAAAGAATACAATTAAATTTAATCAACTAGATAATATCTCATTTGATATATCTTGTTAAGTTATCTCATTTCTTTTTATTTATTAATATCCTTAACAAATGATCATTCAACGAGATTTATTAGATTTATATAACATATTTTTCTTATGATGGTATTTGTTTATAAATTGATAATGATTAGATAGTCTATTGTACTATTTAAGAATAATTATATAAGAATAAGTAAATAGATTAAAGATAATAAATATCTATTATTTTCAATGAAGAATCAAATAAAGAAATTGGATATATTAATTAATGATTAAGTTGTCAATCTTGTTTGAATGAAGATGTTATCGTTATTGTATTGTTATTATTGATTCTTTTATAATATATGAGAACAAGATAGAGGTTGTTTATATTCTATATATAGTACTCTTTCATTCTTGTAAAAAGAAATCAGAATCAAAATCACTTTATTTACCATCTATAATAATTAACTTTTAATCAAAATGGTCTAACAATCATATAACGCTCATATCATTTTTGCTTGAGAACTGTGGTTTTCAATAAAACAAAATAAGAGGAACTTCTCTCTGAAAATAATAATAGAAAGAAGTAATAGTCATTACTATTTTGTAAAAAAATGATGGCTTAAAGATTTCTAAAGAGGTGTATTAGTTAAACATTATATATAATGAAATTAAAAGAAAAGACTAACAAAAATAAAATTCTATGAAATCTCAATGAGTAAACCAAGAGTAATCAGAATCAGTAAGATAAAAAAGAATTAGGTTTAATTTTGTATTGATATTACATAAGCAAGAGAATACATACTATAAATATGAACAACAAATTATTTTACAATATTCTACAACTAATTTTCATGAAATCTATCATCATTCAATGTTTTTATTCCTTATCAACAACAGACTTCCTTGTCAATAAATAGGGAATTTACTAATTAAACTTCTTTAGTAGAAATAAACTAAAAACAATGAAGATTAGATGTACTAAAAAGAACACAAACATCAGAGATTATTGAATAATCATTTCATTGAGTATGAGCTCTTTAGATTTATTTATACTTGAAGGAAGATGAACAGAAGATATTATGATAGAGTTATCAATAAAAGAAACAAATAAGATAATAAAATTCAATAATGGAGAAAAAAGAAACTTAATTTAATTAAAACAATTCAGTTGTTAATTAAATATGTAAAGTGAAAAAGTGATTATTAGACAATTCATAAAGGGCATGAAAAAAAAAAGAAAACCATTACCAATAGAACAATAATACTGGTATAATAATAAAGAGGTCAATAGTCATATTCATCAAACAAGTGAATATGACAAGTTTTATTAATTATTTTGTAATAAAATTATTTTACATGAAAAATATACTATTAATTGAACTATAATTGATATAACTTCAATTCTCATATCAAAAGAAGATTTCTTATTATACAGACAAATGGATATAATTTCAACCACTGATTTATTCAACATTATTCAATACCTAAATAATGATGATATTATTTCATTCTCAATGTCTTGTAAATCAATTAGAAGTGAAATAATATCTCAGTCATTGAATTTAGTTAAAACAAGATTTAAGAAAGAAATAAAACAAATAGAAACAATAATCAAATTACTTCCAAATAATTTCCATTTTGATTTCTTTGTTTTTATGACTTACAAATACAAAATGATGGACAGTCAATTTGTTCAACTTCTTCAAACAAATTACAGTCAATTCAAATACTTCATTCCACTATTTACACAAAATGAACTATTTCATAAGACCATCAGACAATTTTATATTGAAGTGACAAATAAAGAAGAAGTAAATAACACAAGAAATACATTTATTGACTATGTTTATTCACATGCAATTCATTATCGTGACATCAATCTGGTTTTTTTTCTTCTTTCACACACTAGTTTGATTGATTCAGAATCATTAAATAGGACTATTCATTTGATAAAGAATATTGGGATGAACATAATTTTTCATTACATGAAATACCATAAAGTAACAAGTGAATCACAAGTCATTATCATCAGAGTATTCCCATATATTGTTTCAGAACCAATACCTAAATTGTATGTGAGTGAACTGATTCAATTATTAAAATCAAAGAAAATAATAGTCAGGCAGGAAACTGAATGTTGCATCAAATTACTCATTCAAAAACATATAATTGACACGCAATCTATTCCACCATTATTTAGAAGAATAGTTATTAATAAGGATACTCAACCTCTTCAAAAGAGAGTTGAAAGAAAATTAGAAACACAGAAGAAAGTAATGCAAATTAAACAACCAGTGAGTGAACTAAGAAATACACTTCATGATTTATTAAAAACTATTGATAATTGATTTGTGATTATAACTGTTGTTTTAATAAACAGAGAAGTATTCATTTATTATTTTATAAATAAGTTATGTGATTTCTATAAGATGAAGAGTTGATTGATATTAGAAATAAAATTTAAATAATTAAACACTTTAAGAGAAAAAGCTATTGTTTTTTAAAGTATGATTGATATCATTATATTATTGATATTTCTTATTCTTAGCATCCTTTTATTAAATCTATTTTATTTGTCCATTTACAAAATATGATTAAATAAATACTATATGCAACAATTCTTCACAATGAAAACAAACCTAAAATGAAATAAATACAGAATCATCAATTGAATAAGAACTATATCAAACATAACTAAAAAACAAAATAATAATAAAAGGAAAGCACGAATGGCCGAGTGGTCTAAGGCGTCCGCTTTAGGCGCGGATATCGAAAGATGCGTGGGTTCAAACCCCACTTCGTGCATTTTTAATTTTTATTAAAAATTAATAAAATTTGTTATGTTTTATTTATTTCACTATTCTTCATTTTTATTATCACCTCACCACAACAACACATTCATATTATTATGTCTATCATCAGTAACATACTTGATAAATACATGACCAACAAAAAAAAAGAAAAATAAAAAGAAAGGATAAGTAATAGGATAATAGAATTAAATTAACAAGAAATAATAAATAAAATACATAATAATAATGAAATAAGCAATGAGAAATGAAAAATAATAGTATTAATTATGAATTACATAATAATTGGTATTTGATACACTGAGGGTTGGGTAAATTTATTTAGCATAAGGCATTTCTATTTAAGTAAGCATAATGAACTTAAACATAAAATGAATAAAGTATGAGAACAAATAATAAAAAGGTGTCGTTATTTATTTTAATTCATACGTAAATTAAAAATAAATAGTAATAAAAATTATGTATTGTTTTATTTAAACTTTATTTTATATACGAATTAACTATTTTTTGAATTTAAATTCAGAAATATATACTGTATTAAGATTGATTAGATATTGCTAATGAAAAAAAAATAAATGAACAACAGTTCTCTTTTGGGTTTTGTTATTACTTAATGATACTGTAACAAAATACTGTTCTGACTATATTATTTATAACATCTATTTCATGCAAATTTACATTTGGATAAAACTTTCATAATAAATATTCACTTCAAATTGTCTCTCTCAATTTAAAGTTTGTATCATTATTTTAATGATGTATTAATTTCTAGAAGATAAATTAATAACATTTTCTGTTTCTATTTCGTATATTTTCTTTACTATTGTTTGTCCATTCATTAATATACTTCCTTGTTGAGGTGGTATTTGTAACTTAACATTTTTTGTTAATTTTATAGAAATTGAGTTGATTAATAAAATGGTTGCATTTCTCTTCATCTCCATTAATTAGTTACATTGCTAATAAAAATTTACTAATTTATTACAATGGATATAGAAAAAAATATTAGACACAATATTATTCTTAAATTGATAATAAATAATTGTATATCAGTCATTTATATTATAATGATATTACCATTCTAGTGTATCAATATTATGATTACATCAAAAAATATATAATGTAACCTAATTAATTTTTAATACTCTAAATTTGAAGTGTGTCTTCATGCAATTAATTTAAAACAAAATATTAAAATCAAAAACTTGTAATTATTTCTAATACCTGGATAATTACTGCTTGTTTTATGTTATTTTTATTTAATACCTCTTATATTTGGTTACTACTTTATATTTTATTTATATTCCACTGATAAAATAGAATCTTTAATTAAATATTTTGGAATAATGGAAATAAAATTTCTTAAGTTACTTGGTAAATATATATTACAGTAATACCCTAATTATTGTAATTACTATTAAATATAATATGTTTTAAATTTTATCAAAAATGTATGAATTCTCATTGTCTACAGTGTATTTATTTTTGTATTAAATATCTTGCAAAAATACAATATCTTTGATAAGATAATTCAGTCTTTTTTCATCTTTTATAATTAACACGTTCTGATAATATTATTTTTTGGTATAAAACAATATTAATACGATGTCTTATTAATTAATACTAATAATTATATATTCTTTTCCAAATCAAAAACATCATAAAAATTTTATTATCATTTAATTACATTATAATATATATTTATATATATATTATAAATATAAGACTCTTAATAAGGAAGTTCTTTTGAATTATATAAATCAATTTCTTTAGTTCTAACAAAGGTAAATGAAATGGTCAACAGAATGAAAACGTCAGTTTAATTTATTTTGAAGGGAACAATAATAATTCTCAAATTATTTAACTTCAAAATTTAATAAAACATTCAAAAAAAAAAATAATGAAAACTAAAAATTTAAATAATAAAAAAATAAAAACTTAAAAATAAAAAATATAATCATAGTTCAAAGAATGATACATTGTATTGTATTTAGTCTTTTGATTTCTGTTGTTATGGGTTCTTCACCTTCATTAAATCTTACACAATCGATTGCATTACTAGTTGAAAATACACTCACATCAACGTTATCATTGATTAGTACATTGTTTGTTGCTTATTCAATGGTGTATCTTCGGTTACTATCTAAAGGAATATCAAATCAAATGATTTTCTGTTTATTATGTTGTTCATTTGTGAATCAATGTGTTGTTTTAGCGACGTTATTTATTCTTCAAACATCACAAATGGTAGCAGATAATACATGTAAGTTTTTTGCTAGTGTTTTACAATTTACAGATTTAAGCCAATGTTTTTGGATTTTGGCTATTGGTGGACATATTGGCATGTCATATTTTATCAAAAATAATTCAATTAAAAAGAATTATTTTGTTTGTGCAAATATATTTGTTTGGGGAACTAGTTTGGTTTTAAGTATTATCCCTGTGAATAATTATGGAAAAAGTGATATTTGGTGTACTACAATAAGTAAATATTGGGATTTCTTTACATTATACATTTTTGTCGCAGTTGTTGCAATACTTGTTATTATCATTTATGCAGCAATTATTATAAAGATTATTTTAACAAATAAAAATATGAAATTACGTTATTTGTTTACATATAATAAAAATGATGATGTTCAATCTTATGAAATGGTCTCATTAGTAAGAAAAATGGCTATATATCCATTTCTTTATATCGTTTGTTGGATCGTTCCATTCTTTAATAGATTATTACCTTTATTTAAAATAACGCCACCTTTCTGGATGGAATACGTCCACTGCTTCACTATTCCTTTATTGGGATTTGTTAATTGTTTGTATTATGCTAACGATGTTTCTTTAATTGTACGTTGGAGAAATTATTTTAGAAGTTGGGGAATGTGTTTTACTTGCATTGGTGATGAAGAAGAATTAATCAATGAAGATTAAATTCTTGTTATAGTCTATTTTTATTGGTTTATCTGTCTTTTCAAAGAAAATAATCAACTATGACTTACCTAAAATTAAGGTTTTCATCATGTTGAATAGTGAATCTACATACTTCTTCAACATGTTTTATTTTTTTTTCTAATAAAGTTTTTTCAAATACTCTCCACTTATCATTTTCTTTTCAAAGAAATATAACAAAACGAAAAAACTAAAAAATTTAATCTTTTTTTCTTATAAACTCATTATGATACAATTAATGCCCAATGAAACCAATTTTCAAAACCTTTATACTATGATTCTTGAACAATGGTTTGGAGACATGAATACTGTTATTGCTACAGAAAATGAGAATATGGAAATGTTACTTGGAATGTTATTTTCATTATTTGCTGGCATACCTTCTTTTTTCTTTGTTTGTTTTCAAGACATTTTTGTTATTTTGTACTGTCAAATAACAAATGATTACTAAAACAATAGTTATGGAGTGGAGTAACAATTCATGTAAAACTAGGAATGGTCATAGGGTTATGTACTTATTTGTTTTATTTTTCAATTACTCATGTCATCCAATTATAATTATCTTTATCATTAAAGAAACATCTAAGAACGAAAAACAATAAATTTACTCTTCAGATTTCATTAAAAATAGAGTTATCCTTGAAAAGTTGGTTAATTTATTCATAGTCATTGTAGTATTCAACTGTTCTCCATTTTCATCAACTAATCCATATTTAGGTGCGTTTAATAAATTAGTATTTGGTAATCCAAATTCAGTACAAATAACATCAATCACTTTACCACAAGTCCAATTTTTATTTATCCATAATGCTTTTCTTTGTTCATTTGGTAATATAACTTCAAAATATAATCTACAATTGAATGGTACAGTTTTATTTCCAAGAGCATTCTTTAAGATAAATGCTTTCTTTTGAGCGTTTGATGTTTGTTTGTTTACAGGTTGTGTTGGATAGCTTTTTTGAGATTTAAAGATAGAGGATGACTTCTCTAAAATAAAGTTGTTATTCAAAGGTGATGGTTCATTACACGGTTGGGTTTTATGTGTTAGAGCAACGCAGTGATGTGTTGATTGGTTTCTGTGTTCAACACAATAATTCTTATGACAACCTGCACAAATAATCTCAACAAGTTCTGTTTTCCCACAAAGATCACAAATGAATCGTTCTTTTTTTGGCTCTAATCTACAATTATTCTCAATATGTTTATTAATAACAACATCAAGATTATCTTCTTTGTCTAACTGAATATATTTCTGACAAATAGGACATTGAACAGAACCCTTTTCTTTTTGAAGCTCTTTTTTAGCTTTGTCGCATTGGTGTGTCTTGATACATTTGTTACAAAAAGGATTATGACAATAAGAACATTTGATTGGAAGGAAATCTATTAGACCACATCCAAGACATTTTGTTCCAATGTCGAGTGTTTCTTGTGAACCACTCATCAATAGATACTCTCTTTTTTTAAGATTCATTGATTAAATATTATCCATTGAAGTTTCTCATAAAATTATCAATTATTATTCTATTTTTGGAAGTATTAAATAATGATAATGTTTTTCTTTTTTTTTTTTTGAAATGAAAAGACTTGAATAGTTAAATTAGATTTAAGTGAAAAATAAACTATGACAGTCATTGTTTTCTTAAAAACAAATGAAGAGAATATTAGATTTAATAATTGGTATCAAGAAGTATTTGTTGGCATTTCTGATTTATTAAGACTAGACCTTTCTTTTTCTGCTCAACATATTCAAGAAAGTGTTGAAAGAATTCAGAATGAATATTCTGGAAAGTGTCATGACCTTCAAATCAAAGCAACAGTTCTTGCTCTTGAATCAGTGTTAAGAAATATTATTCGACAACAACTTCTAAGTGATTGTGAAAATTGAAATTTTTTTATAGTCAAAATAAATTAATAAATTATTCTTCATCTAAATTATCAGATGTATCATATTTTTCATAACACGTCATTAACATTCTAACATATTGTTTACTAGTTTCATCTAATTCAGTTTCAGAAAGATGATGTAATGAATTATACAACCCTGTTGTGTCTATTATTTCTATAAAAGGTATATCATTAATGACCATAAAACGGATCATTCTGTATAATCCTGATAATGCTTGTTTAGTTGTTCTAGGATCTCTCTCTTGAAGAATTCTATTTGTAGTTAAGAAGAAGAGAGATTTAGAGCATAATTTCTCAAACTGGTCTTGGTCACAAACAGAAAAAAAATTACAAAATGCAAGGATTGCCATTGCTTTACAATTTACATCTTGTTCAGTATTGATACATAACATAACTTGATTCATTAAATCTTTTTTATTGATAATAGAACAAATACAAGGATATTCTGTTGAACATAAATTACCAATAACCCAGAAACAGTTTTTTTTTACTGAAGGGTCTTGAATATACATAGCAACATCTTGCATCCATTTAATGAAATTTAATTCTACAATTTCTTTTGTAAGACTCATATCTTCTTCCATTCTTAAGCAATTACCAACGTATTTGATAAAATATTTTGCAAGCACCATTTCTTTTGTTGAAAGAAGATTAGTTGTACATTTGAGATACCCCTTAAACAAGTCCTTGAAAAATTGTGAACATAAAGTTAAAATCTCCTCATCAGACTCTTCTGAACATATTACAAAACATCCTAGGATATCTGAACATACTTGATAATCAGCACAATCAAATACTAACACCAATAACGTTAACAATGATTCCATTTTTTTTATAGTTAACAATGGTTTTGAAATTAATAAACAAACAATTGAAAAAACAACAACTCTCACAGTAGTGATACTTAGTGAGTGATTGATTAAACTAGCAAGGCGAACAATAAATGTATTGTAACAAACCTGTTTATATGTACCTCCTTCTGAAGAAACATTTCCAACTATCCAAGCAATTTGAGATTGGATTTTTTCATCTGAATTATCAAATAACTTTACAAATATTGGAAGTGTTGTTGGAGTAAAAATCTGTTTAGAAAATGCTGAATCAGTACCACTCCAATTAATAAATACAGTCAATGTGTCATGAACAATATTTTCATCAGAAGAATCTAATAGTTTCATCAAACTTGGCATAACAGGTTTTGGAGAAATATTTCTCAAACAAAATAAAGCATCAACAATTCTATTTTTTGTTGTAGGTTGTTGTACTTCACAAAGTGCTGCTTCGATATAGGTTTCATTAAAACGTATTTGGTCTTTAGTTTCTGTGTGTTGTATTGACTCTTCAATAACTCGTTTTTTATTTAACATTTCTTCTCGTTTTGTTTTTCTAAGGGCTTGTTTTTCATTAACAAGAGATAAATAAAAACTACGTTGAGGAGATTCACGAAGATTTGTCATTTAACTAAGAAAATAAAATTTAAGTTTACTTTTTTAAATAAAAAATTGAATTTAGTTTTTAAGTCATTCTTCTTTGTCATGAGGACGATAATCAATTGGTATTTCTATATGTTGACTAGAAACAGAAAATGAACTCTGTGGTTTCAGAGTCATTGGGATTGAATCTATCCATATTCTAGCGATTGTATTCATATCTTTCAAATTTAAAGATTTATCAAAATTATATTTCTTCAAATTTCTTCGAGACAAAACATGTTTTTTCAATCGAAAGGAATCAGGCAAGGTTGGTTTTGTTACTGGTTTAATTACTGATAAATCAAGAAATAATTGAAGAGAAGGTAATGCCTCTTTTGCTTTTTCCATTGGTTATTGCTTTCTTCGATTTTCTAGTGAAGTAGTCATGACTAAATAAGAATGTCTTTTCAATCTGTGTTTTTCATGATTTTTTTCTTCAAGTGAAAAGATTATCTGAAAAATCAAACTGGAAATGAATGATCTAGAAGCGACAATAGTTAATCAAGAACTTCTATCTCATTTTGATGGATATGTTTGTAGTGACACTCGTGGTCTTTGTGTTGAAGCTCAAGGTATTATGCCAACTAAAAGCAGTGGTTTTAGTCAATCTGTAATGAACTGTTCTAAAGAATTAACACAAAATGATTCCCCAATAATTACTATTGAAGGAACAAATGGAGTTATTATGGTCATGCAAAAAGGAGATATAACAATAGCAGCTACTCATAAAAAATAAACAAAAGAAAATAATTGAAGTTTAAATATTTGCTTTACTTAATTTTGTTCTGTAGGAACAATGTCAACTTTTGATGAAGACCAATCCATTTTAAAGAAAACAAAGTATAGTATCAAAAGTAATATAACTAATCCACAAATTAAATAAAAACAATGTCGATAAGTAAATTTTGCTCCAACTACTTTACTAATACCTTCAATACTTCTGTTTGTTAAATCAACTAAACTTCTCATTTCTATTGCCTATTTCTATTAATTATCTTTTAAAGTCTTTTAATTAATACAAACAGTCTCATCAATATTTTTATTACTATCACTAACTTTATCTAAAAGTGTATTTGTTGCATTCTTCAAAGCAGCACTTTTTCGTTGAAGAATATCTAATTGTTCATCATTTTCATTTATTAAAACTTCTTCATTAGTTATAACTGACATATTTGAAAAATTCTTATGAGTTTAACTTTTTTTTTAGTTTTTTTTTTAAGTAAAATAGTTTTTTGTTTTTCTTGAAAGGAAAGAATCTTAGAATAAAACAAATTTATTATCAATTTCAACAACTTTAATTGTTTTTTCGAAACAACTACAAATAGTACCAAGAATCAATAAAAAATTTTAGTTTTTGTGGATGAGGAGAAAAGGAAGCCAAAATTGGATGAAAATGTGCAAAAAAATCTAGATTCATCAAATCCTTAAATGTCAACGTTTGTGACTTGTTATTTCCTTTTTATGTTGTGTAACCTAATGCTATAGTTTACTATTTAAAAATGATTCTGCTGTGATAAAATATATTAAAACGGCAACAAGCCATAAAAACTATGGACCTACTCCAGAACATTACAAAAATATTTGTAGACTTACTCATCAATAGTTTGTTTTTATAATTAAAAAGAAAGAATAAAAAATAAATTTATAGTGAATGTGGATTAGTTTGTGACACTCTCTTACACCGATTAGGTGATGATGGCAAGTATTGGAGACATATTTATAAGTCATTATTATTAATTTATTACATAATAATTAATGGAACACCAGAGGCTGTTGAAAGATTCAAAAGAAGGCAAATTGAAATTAAAACACTCCATTCATTCCAAAAAATAAAAGAATCAACTGGACAAGACGTTGGAATTAATGTTAGAGAACGTTCAAAAGCTATTACTGATTTACTTAGTGATGATGAGGCGCTTGAGGCTAAAAGGAATATGTCCGAAAAAGAAAAGCAAAACATATTTGGAGAAGCATATTCATCTGATTACAAAACGTCTATGACAGAGACCCATGAAACTAGAAAGAAAGTTGAACTAAAATCAATTGTTCTTAAAGAAGATTTATCTGGTGAATCAGAAAGTTCTTCAGAAACATTAGATAAACCAGAAGTATCTCCTCGTTATCAACAAACACATGAAAATGTATTTGATATGTTAGAACAACCTCGTAATTACAATACAACTACTAACCCTGAGCAAAATTTAACTAGTAGTAACCAAAGTTATTCTATGAATATTCAACAAAAGAGTAATATTACTTCTGAACAAATAAAAACTGAACCAATTTTAACTTCACAAACTAGTACTAATCAAAATTTAAATGTTTTTGATTTATTAGGAGGTTGTAGTACTACTAATCAACAACCTCAAAATATTCAACCTTATCAACAACCTCAAAATATTCAACCTTATCAACAACAACCAGTTGATCCTTTTGTTTCATTTGATAGTTCTAATGTTGCTACCCCAATTATCTTACCAACTCAACAACAACAACCTAAATCTAACAATGAATTTGTTTTTAATGATTCATCATTAAACGAAAAGAAGAGTTGGAAGACGGGCATTGATATTAACTCTCTTACATTGGACTCTCTTCAAGTCAAGTCAAAAGAACAAAAACAAACCCAGCCTCAAGTTAGAAAAACATTAGGACAACTCTAATTAAATAATGTATTCCTTGAAAATTATTTTTATTTTTCTTCTTAGTAATAAAATGAAGGTAAAATCTCATAAAATAAAAACACTTCTTTATTTTTTCGTTTTTCATAAAAACATCAAATAGATGTAATGAATAATAAATACCTAAATGTAAATTTAATAAAAAACTTACTTTAAGTTTATAGAAATGGATGAAAACAAAAATATAATTTAATAGTTCAAATCTTCATTTTTATAATTTCTTTACGAACTATTTCCAAGATTCTATTATTATATTAACTAAAAACCCTATTTTTTTACTAAATTAAAGAAAAATTAAAAGAAAAGAAATATTTTAGTTCTTTTTTAAATAAAAAGAGATAAATAAAAGAATAGTAAAATTGTTAAATATAACTAGTTTTGAACTAATTAAGATGACGATTCGAAAATTGTCAAAGAATAGAAAGTACAAAATATCCAGGTACCAAAATCACATATATCCAGGTATTTAAAACTGAATCTAAAAAAATAAAAAAGAAAATCAATGACAGTGCAACCTAAACAAGGACATTTATATTATGTTGCTCAATCACCTGTTATGTCAATTAGTTGGTCATCATTTACTAATGCTCCATTGAGATGTCTTTATACAACATTTACTGACACTATTACATCTCATTTACATATTTTACAATACGTTGTTCAAAGTGATACTATTGCAAAAACTTTATCACCAGCAGTACATGACCTTCCCTTTACACCAACAGCAGCTCATTTTTCACCTAAACCTATTTCTAATAATGATATTTTTGTTACTTCAGGTGATGGATTACGTGTATTCAGTTTGTCAAGTTCAAATGATATTAATCTTACTGCCACTATGACTGATCAAAAATATCAACTACCATCTTGTGGGTTTGACTGGTGTAATCAAAATCCAGATTTATTATGTACTTGGTATTTAGATAATACTTGTTGTGTTTGGAACGTAGAGACAAGACGTATCGCTTGGTCTATTCCAAGTAAGAAACAAATCTTTGATATGAAATATTGTCCTAATTCTCCTGATGTTTATGGTATTGCTTCTGAACAAGGATTACTCCAATTAAATGATATTCGTGCTGAAAGACCTATCATGTTATTGTATCAATCACAAGATGCACCAGACCTTATGAAACTTTCTTGGAGTTCTTCTGACCCTAATAGAATTGCTACATTCAGTTCATATGGTGATAGGGTAGTTGTTATGGATATCAGAAAACCTTTTGAACCAATGACTCAATTAAAAATTGCTCAAAACCAAGTCAGTTGTATTGATTGGTCAACGTCTTCTGCTAACGAGTTATGTATTGGAACAACTGATAAAAAAGTTATGGTTTGGGTAATTAAACCATCTAGTCAAAATGAAAATTCATTACTGGAATTCTCTTCTGATGGGGAGGTTAATGATGTATGTTGGTCTAAATCTAATCCAGAATGGATTGGTGCTGCTATGAGTTGTTCAGTCCATTACCTTCATGTGTAATTTGTGCTTTTTTAACAAGAATCTTAATTTGATATAGTAGCCTGATTTCCATCAGTTTACACTTACTTTAAATGATTATGCATTTTTATATTTTTTGGTTTATTTGGAAAAATGCATTTTATGAAGTTTAGAAAATATTACTTTTTTATTAATATTTTATAATTTAGATTTAATTGGTTATATATAACAAATAATTTAATAAAAAAAAAAAGAAAAAGAAGAACAAAGAAGTGTCATGTTTCCTCAACAAAATATAACTGGATTTAATACTGATATTAACCAATTTAATGTTCCAAAAAATCCAATTTCACCTGAAGCCACTCTTTTATTTCAAAATTCTAGAGTGTCACTACAAACTACTTTACCAATACAAGGAAGTCAAACATTAGTTCTGGAAAAAGAACCAACGGAAATATCATTACTTCATTCATATGATTCTATAGGGACATTACAATCAAGAAACGCTTTAATTAGTGATAAAGAAGTTAATGACTATATTAGAAGAGGAGAAGTTGTTGGTGAAGGGACATTTGGAAAAGTTTATCAATCGTCAATATCAACTCATGAAAAAAATTGTAAATATCAACGAGTTGCTATTAAAGTGTTAAAACAACAAAACTTAAGTAAAGAAGAAATGAATCAATTTATGATGGAAATGAGTATTTTGAGTCAATTAGAACATCCAAATATTGTTGCTTTTTATAAGGCATGTATCGATGTTCCTTTTATGTCCATTTTAACTGAATATATTTCAAATGGAACACTAACTATGTACCTTGATAAACGTCCTATTTCATTACTAAATGGATTATCTATAATGAAACAAATTGCAGAAGGAATGAGATATCTTCATGAACATATTCCAGTAATTTTACATCTTGATTTAAAATCAGATAATATTCTTGTTGGTGAAAATGGAAGTATTAAAATTAGTGATTTTGGCCTTTCTTTCTTTGTTTCAGATAATGAAGTAGGACATAAAACAAGTCGTTTAATAAGAGGAACACCAGGTTATTGTTCACCAGAAAGTATAGATGTTTCTTTATTTAATAGACTTCCCGTTGATAAGAAGAAAAAATCAGATGTATTCTCTTTTGGAATAGTATTTTGGGAAGTTATTCATGCAGTTTATTGTAAGCATTATAACCGTCCTTATTATGAATTCCCAAATCTTCTTCAACAACCATTTGCTTTAATGAATCAAGTCTCTTCTGACAAAATTATATTAAGACCAAAGATACCAACTCAATGTGACAGTGATGTTGCTACTTTAATTTCTATGTGTTTTGCTCATCATTATGACTCAAGACCAGATTTTAATGATATTTTAGAAATACTAAATGATTATACAAAGATTCTTCAAGTCAATGAAACTCCACTAATTAAACAATCAATGGAGTCAATGACTCCTATGAATAAATTAAATTTTGTAAAAAACCACAATGAAACTAGTGAATTAAGATACTTAAAATTAATGGAAAGTGAATTTCTTCATGAAGGAAGAGTATATGTACTGAGAGAGTTTAGGTGTTGTTTTATATTATATTATGGAGATACTACCATAATTTCAAAAAGAGCAGGATCAATTAAAATATCATCAGAAAGTAATTTTCAATTAACTCTAAGATTTAAATTTAAAAAAGATAACAGTATAATTAGAATAGAAGTACCTTGGATGTGTTTTAAAAATCTTGGATGCGTAAATGAAAATAATGAATGGATAGGTATCTTACAATTAATTACTTATCCGAAATGGTCAGTTAATGGTATTTCTACTGAAAGACATGACGTATTTGATCAATTTTCAGTAAATTTTTATACTTTAGAAAATTTACAAGAGTTCATCTCTTCTTTAAAAAAGATTTCTTTACAAACAAAAAACCCAGGAAAACATATGTTAATGGTTTTATCAAAGTCTAAAGACATTTCTTTTACAAGAGTAAAACCAACTGATTGTAGAAGAAGACTCTTCCAAGATGAATGATTCATTTATTTTGTTTTATATCACGTATTCTTTTTTTTTTAATTTTGTTTTTAAAAGTTTAAAAGAATAACTAGAGAATAATAGTAATAAAATTATAATTAATAAGAATTGTTTTTAAAAGAAACCCTTAGGAAAAACAAAGGAACTTAAATTTGACAGGAGAAACTCATGGTCAGAGTTAACGTTCTTGCTGATGCTCTTAAATCAATTACCAATGCTGAAAAACAAGGTAAAAGACAAGTTATGATCAGACCAGCTTCAAAAGTTATTTGTGAATTTTTGAACGTTATGATGAAACATCAATACATTACTGACTACACTGTCGTTGATACCCACAGAAGTGGAAAGATTGTTGTTAACTTGAACGGAAGACTCAATAAATGTGCTGTTATTTCACCAAGATTCAATGTTACTCTTAGTGAATTTGATAAATGGGAAGCTAACTTACTTCCATCAAGACACTTTGGAGCACTTGTTTTGACCACATCATATGGTATTCTTGACAATACTGAAGCTAGAGCTAAACATACTGGAGGAAGAATTCTTGGATTTTTCTACTAAATGATTTTCTCGTAAAGAATTTTTAATAAATTTTTTTGTTTTAATTTAAAAGAAAAGAAACTATGAAAGAATCAGATAGGAAAAGATGAATGAAGTAGTATCATTAGGACTTGCTAGAATTAAAAAAAGTGCAGTTGAATTAATTGACGAAGAAATTGTTGGAAGAGAAGAACAAAAAAGAGGAATCGAAAGTAATATTGAAGTGTTTATTCAAAATCCATGCACTAGAATACTTTTTATTAATGGTACACCAGGAACAGGAAAAACAATGATGGTTCAATATTTACTTAAAAAACACCAAAATGAAATTATAACATTTTTTTTTAATGCGATTAAAGAAAAGAGTATTAATAATATATGTCGTAAAGTTGGAGGATTAAAGAAAAGTAGTTCAGAAGAAAAAGTTATGGAAAGATTATTAAAAAAATTAGATAAAATAAAAAATGGGATTATTGTAATTGATGAATATGATGTCTTAATGAATGATGAAGGACCATTATATAGATTTTTTGATTGGATTTTTAATAAATCACCGCTAATGATGTTAATATTAATTTCAAATAATAGTCAATATTCTCAAATTCTTCATTCTAGAGTAGCATCAAGAAATGTTACATTTAATTATAATTTTTATCAATATACAACAGAAGAAATTAAAAGTATTTTAATAAAAAGAATTGGTGAAGAAGTAATATATAAAATCTTTAATAAAAAAGATTTTGATTATTTTATTAATGAAAGAATTGAAATGTCATTACAAAATGGTGATGTTAGAAAAGCACTTGGAATGATGTTTAATATTTTACTTAATACAAAAGAACGAATTGAAAAGGGAGAAGATATTAAATTAAGTCATCAAAAAGTAAAAGAATTAATTAGTTCAAATTCATCATATCCAACATTAAATACATGTAGTCAAATGGAATTAATTGTATTATATTGTATAATGAAATGTAAAGAAGAAGAATATGGGTATGAAAGTATTATGAAATATCTTGATGGAATTAGATATAAAAAAAGAGATTTAATAAATTGGAATGAATTTATTGTTAGATCATGTATTTCTAGACTTGAAAAAAAAGAATTAATTTCTATTAGTGTTAATGAAGGAAAAACAAATATTAAATGTAATGAAATTGATAAAGATATGGTTTTAACAATGATGAATTCCATGAATAATATAACATCATTATTCACATAAAAAAATAACAAAATATTTAGAATGTTATTTATAATTAATTTTTATATAAACCCTAAAAATAATAAATAACTAAATAACATAATTTTAAGAATGCAAGAAGAAATTAACTTCCTTAATGATTTTATTGATGATGATGATACAAGTTGTGATTGTTTAGAAGGAGAAAATATTAAAAGTATTAAAAAAGAAATAAAATACAAGAATAGAATGAAACAATTAGAATTATCTAATAAACAAAAAGATAAATTATTTAGTCAATTACTTTTAAATAATAAAAATCGATTTAATCCATTAAAATATAAAATGATAATTGTTTGTTTTAATTTTTTTCTTTTTGAGAGTTAAAAAAAAAATTTAAAATAATTAATATCTTAATAGTTTGGAATAATTTTATTTATTTTAATAAGTGTTTTGTATAGATTTAATGAAATTGTTGAATATAGAATTGATGTATTAATATCATCAGTATTATTTATTATTATTACATTATATTGTATATTGTATTGTTTATTCAATTAATAAAAAAAAAGATATATTTTTAATTGAAAATTTTAATAAAAAAAATACTTGAATTAAAGTTAATTCTAGTCTTTAAAATGTTAAGAATTTTTCAAATAATTCAAGAATATCTTTATTCAATAATTGATTATCTTTTGGTGATGCTAAAATAGTAGATAATTTTTCTTTAACAATTTCTTTAATTTGAAGATTAAATTGATTTGGTAAAATAATATTATTGTTATAGAAATTAATTAATAATTCCATAACTTCTTTAATAAGAATAGCATAATCTGTTTTTAAATTTTCCAATAAACAAGAATAAATATCATTATCTCTATTGAGAATTTCTTTAATACTTTTATTTTCTTTAAGTAATCGTATTAAAATTCTAGTAGCTTCAAATCTAACTCTTTTATCTGGTTCATCTTTTTTTTCTTGTGCTTCATCTTTTCCAAGACAAACATCAATAAGTGCATTTAATCCTTCTTTTTTTAATAATTCTGAAAATTCAGGTTTAAAATTTAAAATATTTCTTAATGCTTGAACAGCAGAATAACGTATAACAATATTTGTCATATATTTAAAAGTAATAATAATTATTTTAAGAGCAAATTCATTACAAACTTCATTCTTATCTTCTGCTAAAATTGTAAAATTTTGTAAAACTGAAATAGACCTATAAATTAATGGTTGATTCATCATATTATTTTCATTAAAAATTGAACTTAATTTTTCCATAATTCCTTCTTTTAATAAAATTGAAACATATTCTTTATTTGTTGAAAATGATTGTATAATACCAATACAATGTTTTTGCATATCCATCATTCTTGAATTTTTTGATGTTTCAAATGCAATTTTAATAAATTCATTATGTTTATCCCAAATACGTGAAAGAAATTCTTCTACTGTAGCAATATGACAAAGAATTTCACATGTATGATTTTGAGTTGGTGCTGGAATATAATCTTCTTTATAAATATTTCCATGAAGAGTATATGCTATTGTTAATTCAATAATTGAATCATATAATTTTGCTGTTTCTTTAAATTGATAAAATTCATTAAATAAATCAAATATTAATTTTATAGACATACATATTTGATTTAAATCTTCTTCATTAACATTTTTTGGAAATAATGGATTTACAATAATATCAATTGCTGATTTATATCCATTAAATATAGCTTCTGAATGTTTACAAAAAACTTTTCTAAATTCTTCAAATGAAAGTACTGAAATAAAATATTCAACTACTTCTGAAAAATTAGAATCAGCTAAATCATTTGGTATTTTATCTAATAATTCAATAAAAAATGGTGATTTAAAACACTCATTCATTTTATTAATAGAAGTAATATTATTAAGTGTTCTAATAACAGTTTCATAACAATCATTAATACATATTGAAATTGCTTTTTTAAATCCTTCATCAATAAGAATTTCTTGTAATTTTTCACATGATTCAAAGAGGTTAGCATAAGCACTAATTCCAACAAGTCTTAAATTAGGAAATTTTTCAATAATAAGTGAAATATTTTTTAATTTATCTCCTCCTATTTCAAGTAATATATTTCTTGCTGGTTCATTATAATATGTTAAATTAACAATACAACGACATGCCTGAAGAGCAGAATGTTCGTTATCACAATTTAATAAACCAATAATAAATTCAAGAATTTCTTTTTTGACATAAATTTGTCTAAACTTTTCATCATCACGACATTGATCAGCAATTCTTTGCATAATTTCTGATTTAGTTGAAAGTTCTAAATCAGTTTTAATAAATTGTATAATATTATCTACTCCATTATCAAAAATTTGATTAAGATCAAGTTTAGTCATCACCAATTAAGCAGAAGAAAATGAAAAGAAAATCATAATTTTTAATGAGATATTTAAGAAAATAATTTTTTGAAATGAAAAGAAATAAACAATAAAAAGAAATGAATAAAAAAAAAATAAAATAATAATAAAGTATAGAATAATTAAAAACCCCAAAGAACTAGAAAATCAAATCATTGCAGAGGGTATGTTGTTAATTAAATAGTTTTAAAATAAAGTGATATTTTGAAAAATAAAAATACTTATATAATAGCATGACTTCAAAGAGAAGAAATAATGGAAGATCTAAGAAAGGAAGAGGACATACTCAAAATGTTAGATGTAGTCATTGTGGAAGATGTGTTCCAAAAGATAAAGCCATTAAGAGATATCAAATTAAAAATATTGTTGAAGCAGCTGCAGTTCGTGATATTTCAGATAACTCTGCACTTAATAAATATAAATTACCAAAAACTTATATGAAATTAGAATATTGTGTTTCATGTGGTATTCATGGAAGAGTAGTTAGAGTTCGATCAAGAACAGATAGAAGAAATAGACTTCCACCAAAGAGAGTTGTTAAGAAGACTAATAAACAACAAGCAGTTAAACCATCCACAGAAGCTGTTAAAGTTGAAGTTCCAGCTAATGTTGTTACTGCACCAAAGGTCACTAACCAAAAAGAAAGACCATTCAAATTCTTGCAATAAATTAATTGAATCGTGTGGAATGGAAATTACAAAATTTTAAAAAATATAAAGAATAATAAAATATTGAATTAAAAAAAAAAGGGTTTTTTTTAAAAAAAATAAACATCTATATAATATATAAGAAATAATAATAAATAATAATGTATTCATTCAATACTAATGGATTTGGTATGAGTGAATATAAAGAAGAAAATAATAATAATCAAGAAATAATTAATAATAATGGAATTATTTTTCCAAATACAATTATTCAACAAATATATCCACAAGACTTAACATATATTTATCGTTTGTAAAGTAATAAATTAAATTAATTAAGAAAGAAAAAAAAGAAAAATAAAAAATGTAATAATAATAATTAATAATTAGAACCATTAATTAAAATATTTGGTGAAGAAAATTTTGCTTCAATTGATCAAATTACACCACAATTAATTCAATTACATATTTATGGAGAAATTTTTACAGAAAATGGTTTTGTTGTACGTTCAGATCAAAGAAAAAAACATAATATTCAAAAAATAAAAAATGCATTAAATAAAATTATTAATATCTTTTGTTGTACATTTAAATATAATAATGATGAAAGTATTAGATCTGGTTTTATTGCACAACAACTTCAACAAGTAGTACCAGAACTTGTTCATGAAGAAATTGATGGAACATTATCTATTGATTCATTAGCATTAATTCCTGTTATTATTGAATCATTAAAAACATTAAAAAATATATTAAATGATATTAAAGCAAAACAAGAAATAACAATTAAAGAAGCACAACAAGCAGTTATTAATGCTTTAACTATAATTCAAAAAGAAAATTATCAAGAATTTGATTTTATATTTACATTAGGACCTTTAAAAATAACATTTCCTCTTGTCATAATTACATTATTATCTACACTTAGTAGTGTTATATTTTTTTCTGAATTACCTTTTATTATTAGTTCACAACTTATTACTGCAGTTCTTGGAGTTATTTCTATTTCAAGAATGCCACAACATATGAAAAGATTTAATTCTGCTATTGTTAAAAATATTATTCAATCTACAGAAGAATTACCAAAGAAAATTAAACAAAATTTATCTAAAAAAACAATTAAAGAAATGAAAAAACAAATTAGTAATTGGTTTAAAGAAAAAGAATTTACAAATTATCAAAAATCTTTATATTTAAGTTATTTTATTATTTTTAATATTAATCTTTGTGCTATTGCTATTAGTTTTATCTTTGGTTCATGTTTAATTAGATTTTTTGGATTATATTTGGCAACATTATTACTTTTTTGGGGATTTACTATTAAATATTGTAATAATATTTCATTTTATTATCTATTTAATATTCTTACAACAATTTTTATTATTGCTGTATTTTTATGTTTTTCTTTAATTAAAATTCAACGTTTGTTATTTACTTTCATTAAAAATAATATTTAATTACTTTTAGCTTCATTAGAATGTAAATTATATCAATTTAATAAAGAAAATTTTATTAATCTTAATACAACTTCTCAAATTAATTTTTTATTAACAACAACATTACCATGGAATTGTATAAATCCTTCTTTAATAACAAATCCTCATCTCCCTTCTATTTCTACATCAACACCATTTAATTCATTATCAATTTTAACTGATTTACATACAATAAAACATAATGATAAAACAACAGTATATCTTGTTTGTTCTGGTTTTATAAAGTTTGAATGTGGTAAATTTACTTTTATTTAATTAATTTGTTAATTATTTTTATAATTCTTTTTTTTTTTTTAATAAATATAATAATAAACCTTATTATTATAATAATAAAAAGAATTCAATCATTTAATATATCTTTTTTGGTTGTTTTTTAAATTGTTTAGATTTCTTTTCATTATAAGATTCAAATCGAATATGTCCATTACATTCTTCATTTAATTTAGATAATTGTTGTTTTCGTTGAAGTTGACCTTTAGCTAATTTCTTTTTAGCTTCACGTTCTATTCTTGTCATTTTAAGTTCTTCTTCATCATCACTTTGTTGATTTAATTGTCCATTATCAATTTCATCTAATACACTTTCTAATATTCTTTTTGTTCTTTCAGAAGAAGCTTGTGAATTTTCTTTTTCTACTTGTTTAATTTCTAATTCTTTTTTTTCTTCATTAGTTTGCTTACTAAATGAATCTTCAAATAAACTTTCTTCTTTTCTTTTAGTAAGAATAGCTGTTTCTTTTTCATCACGTAATTTTTTATCAGCAAATTTAACATAAATTGTTTTTATTTCTTTTCCTTTCTTAATTTTTTTTCTATTTAATTTCCTTTTAGTAAGTTGTGCATCTTCAATTGTTCCATAAATTGCATATCCATTTCCAGTACACTCTTTAGATCCATGTTTTGTTATTATAAATGCTTTTTTCACTGGAGCAACCTCTCCCATAAGTGTTTGGAACTCTTCATTACTATAATCTTTTGGTAATCCAATAACAAATAACTTTTTATCTGAAACACCAACTTGAGGTCTTTCTTTTTTTGGTTTACTTTCAATTTCCTTTTTATTGTTATCCTCTTCTTTTTTCTTTATTTCTTCATTTATTTTCTTCGTTTTGTTGTGTTTTTTAAAAGACATCCTCTTTTATTTCTTTTTATAGTTTTCTTTTTCAACCCTCACAAATTCTGTAATATATATTATCATTTAAAAATTGAATTAAAAATGTATTTTATTCAGTTTTTTGTTCTTCAACTGGTGTTTCTTCTTTTTTCTCTTCTTCAATTGGTGTTGTTTCTTCTTTTTTCTCTTCTTCAATTGGAGTTTCTTCTTTCTTTTCTTCTTTAATTGGAGTTTCTTCTTTCTTTTCTTCTTCAATTGGAGTTTCTTCTTTCTTTTCTTCAGTTGGAATAGTTGTTTCTTCAAGTTCAAGTTCAATATTTTTAATTTCATGAACATTAAGATTTGCTTTAATAAATTCTTCAAGATCAGCTTCATAAGAAACATGTTCCATATTTCCTCTTAAATGTTGTGAAACATCAGCTATAATAGTTGATAATTCAATTTGAGTAACAACAAATTGATCAAGTACTGCTTTAAATGTTTCATAATGTTTAGAAATTAATTCTTGACATCCTTTAAGAACTTCTGGAAGTTCAGTTTGATATAATACTTCTCTAGTAGTATTAGCTTTATCAACAGCAGCACGATAATCAGCTTCTAATTTTTTTACTTTAGCATCTAATTGTCCAATTTTAATATTATTCTTTTCTTGAGCTGGTCCTTCAAGTGATTTTCCTATTTCAACAGCATTTTTATGTTCAGTAACAGCTTTTTTATAATTAAGTTTAGCTTTTTCAGCAGCATTAACTAAAGTATTATGACTATTAATACTTTTATTAGTATCATTAATAAGTTTCTTTTTTCCAACTTCAATATCTTTAACAAGTGCTTCTAAAGGTTTAACAATTTCATTAAGAATTTTATTAGCAGTTTCAAGATGTTTTTGACCAATTTTTTCACTTTCACTATTAATTGTTTCAAGCATAGCTTTTAAAGTAGATTCAGTTTTATCAACAGGGTTTTCTTTATTAAATAATGAAGTTTTCATTGGGACAGTACTTTGAATATGAATACCTTTACCATATTCATTTTCTAAATTAGCTCGTTCTTTAAAATAAGTAATATAAGCTTTAGTAAGAATAACAATATTTTCCATTTTTGTTGAAACAGCTGGGAATTCATAAATAAGGTTAGTAAAATCAGACATAATGAAATGATTAGTAAGTTCTTTTTTGTACAATCACGATGATTTGTCACTTTTTGTTAATAAAAATAAATTCTCAAAATAGACTTTCTGAATGATTTTCTTTTTGTTTCTTTTTAAATAAAGATTTTAAATATCATTTAAATTATTATATTGAAATATTAATTAACTAGATTAGTTGGCAATGGAATAACCCAAGTTGAGTTAATGAATCATTATTCATAACTAAACTAAAATCAAAATCATTAAATGGATCACATCTAACAGTAATAATACCATCAAAATTTAATTGATGATTAATATTATCACAATGACAATCAATAATTCTTTTACCATCATATGTTCTTGTTATATGAAGTGTTTGTTCATGTGAATTACTAATAACAACAGATTCTCCTCCATTACAATAATAACCACGACAAAATGAATTATTATCCCATCTTCTTTCTAATTGCATTTTTATTCCTTTTTGAATTCTAAGATCAATTGATTCAACATAATTATCACAACCAGCAATAAGAATATTTAAATCATTTTCTGAGAATATTGTTGTTACTAATAATGTTTCTCCAATATATTTTATTACTGGAATAGAACAATCTGTTCTAAGATCCCATATTGCTGCACAAGAATCAAAAGAACATGTTGTAAATAAAAATGGATTAGTATTAGAAAATTTTGCTACATTAACATTTTCATTATGTAAAGATCCATAAACTCTTTCTAATTTAAATGTTTCAAAATCAAAAAGATTTATATTAGTTTCAAATCCTGAAGTAATAAATTTTGAACAATTACAATTAAGATGTACAGAAGTTATTCTTTCTAAATTATCTATTGTTAATAATGGTTGTTTTCTTTTTGAAAAATCATAATAACATAATTTTCCTGTATCACTACCAATAATACAATTATTTGCTTTTGATTTTTCTGAACACCAACAAATCCCATATGGTGAAGAATTAAATGGAGAATCTATTTGTGTTGATATATTTGATTGAAAATCATAAAGATATATTTTTCCATTTAAACAACTTACAAGAAGTTTTCCTGGAATACATTTATTATATTCTATTTGTCTTGGAACTTCAATTTCTGGTATTAATTGTTTAAATGGTGTTTCATTAAATCTATATAATGTTGTTATAAATGAATTATAATTTCTTTGTATTTTACCTAATTGAATATGTTGAATATAATTAATAATTGAAGTATGTTGTAATGGAATTGATACTTCATCATTAACAGATTGTGCAATTAATCTTCTAACATTTTTATCTATTCTTTCTTTATTAAATACAATAAGAAGTGGTAAAAATAAAATAAGTGTTCTAATATAAATATCACTATCAAATATTAATGGTGTAGGTGTATTATTAATTCTTTCATAATATTCTTTTTGTGTTTTAAATAATTTCCCTTTTCTTCTTTGAAATCTTATTCTTTGAAGAGCTTGTTTAGGATCTATTAGTTTTGTATGAGTAGAACGTGGAAGTTCTAGGCATGTTAATGTTGTCATTTTATACAGTGACCTTATTGTTTGTTTATTATCTTTTAATGGACAATTGTTAAGACAAAGTGATTTAAGCTCTGGTAATGGAGGAATTAATAAAATAGGGTTTGTTGATGCATTAAGAAATTTAAGTGTAGTAAGATAAATCAATGGAGATAATGAACTAATTTGATTATTAGAAATATCTAATAAAGTTAATGGAAGTGAAATAAGTTCATCCAAATGGTTAAGTTCAGTATTATTAAATTTTAAAGAAACTAAATTCTTAAATCTTTGAATTTGAGGAATAAATCCACCATTATCAACTATCCTATTACTTATTCATTTTCTTCTTTTATTAAATATTTCTTAACAAACTAAAAGATGAATCCATTGAACATATTGATGTTGTATTTGAGTTATCTTCATAATATTCATATGAATAATATCGTGGATGAATCATCTCTTTTTGTTTTAAATAACATTTTGTAGTTTTCTCTTTTATTTTTGATTTAAGGTAAAAATAAAAATTGTTCATAATTTAGACCTCACTTAGATATTTTGAAACTTCAATATAAATCATTTAATTATATATCAAAGAAAACATAAGAATAAATTATTGATATAGTTTATGATTTAAGAAATAAACTGATGTTTTAATAAACAAACTTGTCTCATTTTGTTATTTTATTATTATTTTGGAATATTTAGAGTATGATAAAAGAAATATTCTTTTCTTGAGTTCAAAAAATTCCTAATCTTTTAAGAATAACGACAAGATTGTTGATAAAAGATTTATCAATCAAAACTATAATGAGATAAGAAAAGATTAAAAAAAATTACTACATTAATAATTTTTGATTAGGTTCTTTGATATTTTCTAACAAGAATATATGATAATAATTCATATGTTATTTGTGTATAATTTACAATATAATTTATAGAATAGATATAGAATAGATATAAATATTAATTTCTAATTTTGAGTATATTTATCAAGAAAGAAAATAATATATTATATTTAGTCATTAATTTCATTTTTGATAAAAGAATTCACTAATAAACAATTATACAAAGATGATATCATTAAATATTTACAAATTATTTTTTATTATTCAATAATAAAAAAAATTCAACAGAATAAGATTAATTGTACTAACTTTTATTGAGTTAATAAACAAACTTATCATAAAAGAATTCTCTTTGAATTCTAATTAACTTATTAAAAACCTTTAATGAAAAAAAAAGATTTATAATGTTTTATTAAACTAAGAAAATATAATTGTTATTGTTTTAGTTAAAATTATTGAAAGAAAAAGTACATCATTAAATTTAAATATAAAATAGAGATATAAGTTGATAAATTTCTAAATAAATTTAATATTCTAAAAGTTTGGTATATAATGATAATAATTATAAAAGTTCAAGTAATTTAAATGAAAAAAAAATGAATGAATAGGTTCAAATTAAATCATAGAATAAAATAGAGTAAAAAACAAGATTTTACCTCAAAATTTTTAAAGAATAATATAATTTATTATAATAATGAAATATATTTAAGTAATTATAATATTCTTCATTTTTAAATTTATAAGAAAAATATTCACAAATAGATATAAAAGAAACAAAAAAAAAAATTAGATGAAAAGTTAATTGAAATTAAAAGCGAACAACGATACAACTAATATTATCACCACTATCATTGAAATGAGCAGCATCTCTTAAGAAACAAGCTATGTCAGCAATTCTTGGTGTTTTTAAACGTTCTCGTGTCATACGAGCAACAGTTTGATTATCAAAAACATCCCATAATCCATCACATGCAACAACAATTGCTTGATCTTCATTTGATCTATTAACAGTTAATACTTCTGGTTCACAAGTTAAAGCAGGATGACATTTAAGATCACCTAATGCACGTGCAAGACCAACTTCACCATTTAATCTACCACTTTTATCAACATAACCATAATTTTGTCTAATTCTTCGAAATTCATTTGGATTAGTTGGTTTATGATCAACAGACATTGGATTTTCAGTATTTCTTTGAATTAATAATGCTCTTGAATCACCACAATTAGCACAATACATTTTTTGAGGTGTAATTAATATAACTATTCCAGCAGATCCATCAGTAAATTTTTGTTTTTCAATATATTCATTAATTATTGAATAAGTTTCAATAAATGATGTTTTAATCCAAGTATCAACATAATTTTCTGGATCAATTTTCTTTTTAGATAAACTTTTTTTAATTTGACTTTGAAATTGATTTGCAAAAATAGTTGGAAATAAAGCAGATGATAATTTTGATACAGTATCTCCTCCATGTCCATCAAATAATCCAATCATATGATATCCTTTCATTAAATAATTTTTTATAACAAAAGAAGTATCTTGCATAGAAGGTCTTCTTCCTTTCATTTCACAAATTCCAATATCAATAGGAAATTCTTCTTCATTTTTAAGACCATTATTCATTTTTAAAGTAAATGATGGATTAAGATCAACTGGAATAGAAAATGGTTTAGCTATTTTTTTATCATTATAAACAGTACATGCAATAGATGTACTTTCTAATGTTGGTTCTTCTTTACTTGTTTTTAATACAGGTCTTTGTATTTGGAAAAATTCACATTTTTTTTCTAAATGAGGAATTTTACAATGTGTTTCAAGTTCATTACCAATAATATTAAATGCTATTAAATTTGGCATTGATTCTATTTCTGATGGGATTTCTTTAATAAAATTAAATGAAACATCAATTTCTTTTAAACTAGGAATATTAGTTAATGGTTTAATATCTAAAATACTATTACAACAAAGATCTATTTGTTCTAATTGAGTTAATTTAGAAATTTGATTTGGAATATTTGTAATATAATTATTTGATATAAATAATGTTTTTAATGTAATTAAATCAAATATACTTTGTGGAAAATGAAAAAGATTATTTGATTGTAAATATAATGCTTTTAATTTTTTTAATACAGAAAGACTTTCTAATGAACTAAGATGATTACATCCAATATATAAATTTTCTAAATTACTTAATGATGAAAGAACATTAGATGGAACTTCATATAAATGACAATCAGAAAGATTTAATATTTTTAATCCTTGACATTTAGTAATATATATAGGAAATTCAACTAATGGATTACAACTAATATCCAATTGTTGTAATGTAGGATGACATGTATTTTCATTAAATCTAGTAATTCTATTTTGAGAAATATCAAGACGTGAAATTTTAGAAACCATTGAAAGATCTGGTGATATTTTTAATTTATTATTTGAAAGAATCATATATTGAAGAATTCCATTTTCTGGAAATTCAATTGATTCAATTTGATTATTAGAAAATCTACATGAACAATTTGGTGGAAGTGATTTAACTTCATTTAAACATCCACGAATAACATTTAATGATGTTAATTTACTATTTTGTGAAAGATCTGGAAGAAACATACATTTTGTATCACTTAATACAATCTGACATAAATTTGACATCATATCTACTGAATTTAAACATGAAATAAATGATTTATTAATAATTAATGTTTTTAATTTTGTTAATTGTGAAAGAGAATCAGGTATATCAACAAAATTATTATTATCTAATTCTAACTGTGTTAATGATGGAATTCTACATACTGTTTCTGGAAATTTACCAAAATTATTAGATGATAAATATAATCCACTCAATTTTTCTAATTTACTTATAGATTCTGGTACTTCTTTAATTCTATTTTGTTGAAGCATTAAAATTGTTACTTTTCTTAATTCACAAATTACTTCTGGAAATTCTTCAAATTCATTACTTGTTAATTCAATATAATTCATATCAACACATTTAGCTAATCCTTTTGGTAATGATTTTAAAAAATTAGCAGTAAATGAAATTCTTTGCAATTTGACTAACTTTCCAATACAATCAGGTATTGTTGTTAATTGGTTTTGAATCATTTGAATTTCTTCTAAATTCGTTAATGTTGATATTTGTGTTGGAAATTCAGTAAAACAATTTGCATTTAAATCAAGATGTCGAAGATTACTTAACGTAGTAAAACTAACTGGCAATGTCGATACTTTATTAGCCATCATTCTGAAATGAGTTAACACTTTAAATGTTCCCATTTCTTTAGGGAGATTCTATCCATTGTCAATTTATTCTAATACCTTTGATTCTTTTGAACAATAGTAACAAACTGTAATCTCATTATTTGAAAGGTCAATAGAAGTGATTACTGATGCTTGTGAGATACAATCTTTTGGAAATTGTTTGATACCCATATTCTTTTTATTGTAATGTTGTTTATCACTACTCATATTTCAAATTCGTATTATTAAGATGATGGATTTTATTTTTTAGTTTTCAATAAAGTTTTTCTCCTTTTTATTTCTTTTAAGTAGAATTTTTTCTTCTGATTATAAGTTTTTAACCTTTATGACTTTTTCTTTTTCCTAATATTTGAATTTCTTAGATTTTTGTTGTTACCAACAACTTTTTAATATTTAAAATAGTTCCTATTTAATAAAACCACTTCTTGGTAATGATGTAGTCGTGTTATTACTTCATTAATATTTTCTGGAGTTTCGATAAAAACAGAGTGAGTGACTGAGTACTGTATAGCCTATGACTAAAATAAGTTTGTGGAAATATCCATCTTTACATATTGCACAGTTTTCCCCATTTTGTGTAATAATTTTACATCCTTTTTTCCCCTGTTTAACACATACACTATTATTTAAAATATATCCTGCAGAACATTTCTGACATGTTGTTGAATCAATACAATGTTCACAATTTTCAATACAATGTTCACACATTAATGTGTTTGTAAGGTAATACTTGTTATCACAACGCTGACATCCAACAGTTGTTTCTTTTTTACAATGAGGAATTAATGAATTAATTGATCTTTTCAACTCTAACTTTGTGTTTGTTAATTTTATACAATCAGTTTGATTATACAAAACATAACCATTCATACATTCATCACAACTTGTTGAAGACAAACATTCTTTACAATTATCTGGACATGGTTCACAACTACTAGTCTCAGAATTCAATACTTTTGTTGAAATACATTTAGAACAACTTCCATATTCATTTGTAATTAAACAATCCATACTTTCAATACATTTACCATCTCGAAGAATACTTGATGTATCACATTGAAGACATTCATCATGTGAACATCTCAAACAATGTGTTGGACATTCTTTACATTCTCCATTAACTACTTTTGTATTATCAATACATGATCTACAACTATCAAATCCAACATTATTACACTTCTCATTTTGTGGAGAAACACAATGTGAGTTTAATAAGTACAAATTTAATGATGAACCACTTGAGAAGCACTTGAAATGACCATTAGTATAACTACATGTTTTACAATTGTTACCACATTTAATACATTTGTTATTAATATAATCAACTGCATAACCATCTCTACATTTAATGCATGACGAAGACTTATAAACTTCACACAAATCACCTGGTTTAACAATACATTGTTTGGTGTATGAATCATAAACATATCCATCCTCACAAACAATACAAGACTTTAAATTATAATCACAAACTTTACAATTTCTAATTGAACATTGTAAACAAATTCCATTTGAATCTTCTTCAATTTTAGTTGTTGAACATGCAGTACATCCAATACTTGAGTTATAACAATTAGCATCACAATTATCACTCTCAAATTTATAACATTTTCCTTTTCTCAACACATATCCTTCTTGACATTTTTCACAATATTCAGCTTTATAACATAAAGAACATCCAGTCTCACATTTTACACATGTTTTATCTTCTTTTAATCCATATCCATTTTTACATACAAGACAGTTTGGTGATGAATTAGAACATACTAGACAATTAGGATTATACTTAGAACACTCATAACAATAACTTTGATAAAGGAAATTGTTGTATTGACATTTTCCTTCCTTTATTGGCGAAACACATCCAGCATTAGTGTCAGAACATGAAATACAAGTACCTTCATAAATACTATATCCAAGTTTACAATATGAACAAGTCATATTATTATTACATTTATAACAATTTGGATCATTTCCACATGTTATACACTTTTTTCCTAATGGAACATATTCGTCAATACATTGGTCACATTTATATTCTGTTGTTGAGCATGTTAAATAATCAGTAATATCACAAGAAGTACATCCTTTCAGTTTGTTTGCATAATAAAGACATTTACTATTCTCCAAGTAATATCCATCTTTACATCTAGTACATTCACTAAAAGTATTGCATGTCATACATTCATTAGGACATGCTAATAATTAATACCGTATTATTCTTTTATATACTTTACAAATAAAATATTCGAAACAAACCAGAGCATAATCCATTTGACAAATATGTTCCAACTTGGCATGAAGAACAACGAATTGTTGTACATGGACTACACCAACTATAACCACTATAAACAACAATACCATAATTTCTTTCACAAGTAATACAAGAATCAGGACCAGAACACGAACTACGACCAATAGGACATTCTACAGATTAATTTTTATTTTTGAAAATTTGATGTTTCCAAAGTTTGATTCCAAAAAACAAGAAACAAACGATAACACATTCCATTGTCTAAATAATATCCTTTAGAACATGATGAACACTGTGTTGGTGATGAACATTCAAAACATCCAGTTGGACACTTTTCACATAAACTTACTTCAAATGAATACTTTCTTAACCAATATCCAGAATTACATTTTGTACAATGATATTCTTCATCACATGCTTCACATCCTCTTTTACATTCTATTGAAATCAATAACAGTCACTAACTAATTAATATTAAAGATTAAAAAACAAACTATAACAATATGAACAAAAAGTATTATCCTTCCATGAACCATATAAAGTCCTTGAGTAAAATCATATATAGAAAACGAGTTAAAAAAGATCAACAATTTGTTTGATATTAAAAAATGTGTTAAGAAAGAATTGCCTTATTGGCGTCTCAATTTAGAAGATACTACAATATGGTATTAATGTATTTGAGAAATAATAGTCTATGAACTGTAAGAATGATTAACTAAATAAAAACTGAAGAAGAGAGTAAAAATATTATCAAATAAAAATCAATACCACAAAAAAGTGTTTAAGCCTTTTCAACAAGATGATTATTGTTAGGAATAGTTGATTTGATCATATCAGAACTCTTTTTTGGTTCTTCCTTCTTTTGGCCTATAACTGGTGTTGATTGAGTTAGTTGTTGTTGGTCTTCTTGAATTGGTTCCAAAATATCAATCAGTTCTTCTTCTACTGGTGGTTTCTTTGCATCTTCTGGAATAGAGTCCATTAACTTTTTTACAAGGTTTGTTGTAAATAATCCATTTTCGACAGCAGTTTTAACTGAATTTAATAAACGATCCGCTATATCTTGTTTTTGGACAGCATATTTATTGAAACCTATTTCAATAAGTAATTCTTTTGATTCTTCTTTAAATGCAGTGTCATCTATAAATTTGTTATTATACATTGAGAATAATGTATTACATTTTTGTGGTATATCCTTTGTATAATTAATTAAATCATTAATATCTTTAATCTGTGCATTAAAAATTTGTTCTGCTTTAGAATCAGCAGTTACTTTAACGTCATAAACTTTCTTGAAATTTTCAAAAATTGTTCCATAACTTCCACGAAGAAGATTTAAAGCATCTTTATAAGCTTCAATAGTTACTATCTTTAAAACTTCTTTTTTCTCTTTTTCAGTTTGTTCCATTTCATTAATGATGTTGGGGTTTTTTAAAAGTAATTTTTTATTTTTCTTTGTTGTATCAATTTTCTTACTAATTTTTTTCCATTCGTCATTTGCTTTGGATTTATTACTTTTAGCCTCATCTCGTGCTCGGTCAAGTTCCTTAGGTAAATTTGTTGAATCATTTACTAAATTTTCGCAAATAATTTTGAATTGATCTGTTATTTCTATCAAATTATTCTTCCACATCGAAAACATATTTGCAATATTTAACATTCCAACATTTAAGTCATTATGCCCACAATCACCCATCGTTTCCATTGATTCTACAAGTCCTTCTGCCGCTTTAATCATTTGTTGTTCAGCTCTATCAAATAACATACATTTCTCAACTACAATCTTATACTTAGGAATGAGATTTCTTATTGCTTGGTATGTATTTTGAGTATCATTTTCTAATTCATCAATACCCTTTATAAGTAATTCGTTTTCCATAACTTCTATTTTTTTTAGTTCTTTCTACTAAATTTCGTTTCAATCTTTTTTTTTTTAAGATTATATTTTATTGGTTGAAATTTCTTTTCACAATCACTCAATCAGAAACTTCTCACTTTCAGATTTTATTTAATTCAAATGTGATCCACAAAAGCACAATCTTAATATTAATCTAAGAAACAATAATTTTTGTCTTTTTATATGCAACACACTCAAAGCCAGCCAACACAAAAAAAATTATTATTTTATCCAAGTTACATTGATGAAAATAATAAAGATCAGTCGTTGAGAAATTCCTTACTTTCTTCAAACGAACATAACACAAAACATTACTTCTGTCCTATTTCTAAAATATATCGTACTCCACCTATTCCTTCTAAACGAATAACTCATTACCAGAAACTATTTGTTGAAGGAATTCCTCCACCCACTGACGAATTAGAGAAGAGATTTATTGAAATGAAACTAATAGGAACAGGGAGCTATTGGAATGTCTATAAATGTTACGACAACAAAACTCATCAAATTAAAGTTGTTAAAGTTTCCATTCGAACAAACCAATTACTTAACTATAAAAAAGAACGCAATTCAATGAAAATACTTCAAAACAAAACCATGTATCTAGCATTAAATGAAGAAATGTATTATGATTCAATCAATTTTTATGCTGTAATGCCAAAATTTGAAACAACAGTTTGGGATCTTTTAATAAAGAAAGAAATGAATGACAATGAGATTATTTTTACAATTTGGTGTGTTCTTATGGGATTAAAAATAATGAATATGCATGACTTAGTTCATCTTGATGTTAAACTAGAAAATCTATTAATTGATAAGAATGGGATGGTGAAGTTAGGTGATTTTGGCACAGCAACTAAAATAGGAGAAGTTGTTGATTCAGATGAATGTGGTGATGGAAGATATTTAGCCCCAGAAGTGCTTCAAGGACATGCACTGTTCGAAAGTGATGTTTATAGTTTGGGTATTTGTTTATTTGAAATGGTCAGTCGAAGAATATTCAATCCATTGGTTTGGGTTATTAATTTCTTTTATAGTAATGTATAGAAAAATAAGATTAACAAGTAGAATTTCAGGGCTGAGTTTGGTGATAAGTGTTTACTTAAATTCTTTAAGAACGAAGCACTTCGAGATATGTTTCTTAATTTTACTAGTTCTGTTCCAACAAAAAGAGGAACCCCAAGTTTATTGGTTAATTACTCAATATTTGAAACTAATGAAATTATGTCAATTCAACTATAAAAAACGAACCAACTCCAATAATACAGGATATTCATAGTATGTATCATATATAACTAAAAATCTTTTTAAGGTTATAAAATCTCTTTTTGACTACCAATCTTATTAAAAAGAAAAAGAATAACTAAGAAGAAAAGTCAGAGATAGAAAGACCAAAACTTTAAAGTCACAAAAATGGAAGTACCAGAACTCCCTCCAAAACCAATTCAGTTAATTAAGCTTGAACAATCAAAGAATAATTTAAAAGAAATAAAAGAAATTTTTAAAGAAAATAGTATAAGTAATTATAAAGTAGAAGACAGTATTGATAATTGTTGTAGTCTTGAAAAAAGAAAAATGGTTTGTAAAGAAATATATGAAACTGAAATTTCATATATTACTTCACTTGGGATTTGTGAAAACTTTTATTATCGTAAAATGATAAAAGAAACATCTCCGTTTCATGCAGAAGATGTTAAACAAATTTTTTTGTATTATGATGAGATACTTCGTTGTAATAGAGAATTTGCGTCAATGGTAATAAAAAGTTGGAAAGATAAAACATTTGAAGACTCCATTGGGGAACTTTTTCTTAATTTTTCACCATTCTTTATTGTTTATAGAAACTTTTTAATTAATCATAACAAAGCTTTTACTTTGTTAACAAAGTTGGAAGAAGATACAAAATTGAAAAGGTATTTGGAAAATTGTCAGTATCAAATCAGTACGAATCAAAATCTCGATCTTCGTGATTATCTTATTATGCCAGTCCAAAGATTACCAAGGTACAATCTCCTTTTAACAGATTTATTAAAAAATACTCCAACAAATCACTGTGATTATCAGAATATCATTAAAGCATTAGAAGTAATGAAAGAAGTTACTACAAAAGTTAATGAATCAATCTCAACTAACAAACAACAACAAAAACTCTTTGATTTAAGATCAAAACTTGCTAAAAGAAATGGCTTTGAAGTTATAGAACCTCATAGAATCCTATTAAGTGAAGAAACTATTATCCAATTCACTCACAATGGAAGAAGTAGACGAGGATTAATATTATTTAATGACTGTATCTTACTTACAAAAAAAGAAGAAAAGTTAATGAAAATAAGATTTATTATTGAATTGAGTAGATGTAGTATTGTTGAACCAAATAAGGAGAAATCCCTACAAATTTATAGTAATGTCAAGTCATGTGAAATTGAATTTGAAAGTTACGAACAAAAAGAACATTGGAAAAGTATTAGCAAAGATGCTATTATCCGAATGAAGAAAACAAGTGACTTTGTTTTTTCTCCATTAGTTATTTCTCCTGAAGATGTGCATGAGTGTAAAATTTGTCAATCTGAAATAAAAAAAAGGAAAAAATATTACTGCAAAAAATGTCTGAACTATATCTGTTCTAAGTGTTGGAATTCTATTGGGAAATGTTGCCTTAAGTGCCACTCCTTAGAAAAAGAAAAGGTAAGTCAAAAGAAAATAGAACCTTTCAAAACAGAAAAGGAATGTGATTTCTTTAATTTGAACAATAATTCAAATCAACTTTCAATTCAAATCCAATCCTCCTCTCTAACACCTACTAAAGGATTACCAGAACTTAAGAAAGAGTTAAAGAAGGTGGTTGGATTTGTGGGTGTCTTAAAAGAACACCAACCTAAAGAAAATAGTGCTCTTACAGAAAATACAAGTAAGGGATGTAGGAAAGAACAAAGCCTTCAAAAAGGTATTACACCTACCGAAAGAACATTCCAAACAGAAAAAGATACAAGGCCTGTGATAAGACAGATTGGTTTAGGAAAAGACACTATTACTCTAAATGAGAATGGGTATTGTTTTAGTCCTGACACTACTAAAAAAGAAAAAGTAAAACTAATTGAAGAACAACAAGACGATAGGTTGATAGAAGGTATGGATGATAAAATAGAGGTTGTATTGGGTCTAAGAAAAAAAAGTAATTCAATGATCCAAGAAGAGATAAATTTACATGAAAGATTTTGCAAAAAGAAAAGAAGAAACTTTATTTCAAAAAGTCTAGAAACTAATGAACAAAAGCAAAATAGTTTCCAAAAGAAATCTAAGAAGAAAGATATAGTACCACAAAACAGTGAAGAAGACAGTCTGTCTATTGAAACAATTCCAGAAGGACCTGGTAGAGTTCAGTTTTTAAAGAAATTAAATGAAAAACGAATTCAACAAGCAAAAGAAGAAATCAAGAGATATGAAATAAAACCTAAACTTGTTAATGATAAAAAGTAATTAAAAATGTCATCACCATATTTGTTTTGGTTAATTTAAATGAAGAAAAAAAACCATTATAAAGACTGTATTTAAAACTATATCTATAAGTTAATTTGTTTAAAGTTTACTAGTAACACAAAGTATCTGAAACATTGTTATTATTTTATCGTTATTTCTTCATTTATATAGGTTGTTACTATTTTCTTTTAAATTTCTTCCATTTTTATCATCATCACCTTCTTTTTAATGACTTAAAACTAAAAGTGACACCATTTTATTAAAATACTGTTTCATAGGTTTGCACTCATTTTCTCCTTTGGTTATTAAGAAATCTCAGACTATTTTACTTGTTTAATACATTCTAAATTTTTTTTTCATTTAGATACATTCTATTGATTATTTCTTGATAATGCCTTTAAAGTATTAAATTGAGGTCTAAAAATTATGTAATTTCCTTATTATCTCTATTGTTGATAACAAACAAAATTATAGCCATAAACTGAATTTAATATAATAGAATTGCTGTAAGTTAAATTGAAAATTTATTTTTTGCTCATACTACGACAACGTTTTCTTGATAATTCTGCTTGACATAATGTTTTCTTATTTTCCAGTTCATTTATTTGATCTAAAATGTCTTGTTTAGTTTGTTCTAATCTTTCATTTATTGTTTTAACTTCATTCAATTCTTGAATAAGATTATTAACAATACACTCAGCTTGTTTAGCATATGGACTAGCAGATGATACTGTTGCTTTATGAAGATGGTCCTCTGCAATTAATTCACATTCAGAAACATTAACAGTAACAGCCATTCCTTTGTATTTAGATTCAATCCACTCAATCAATTTCTTTGTTTTTTCAGTTGGTTCTTTCCTTTCTTTCTTTTCAACTTCTTTTCTTGGTGTTGAAGGTATTTTTGGACTTTTTCCTTGAATTTTATTTGTTAATTCAAGTTCTTTTTGTTGAATGACTTGTTCTAATTTAACTCCAAATAAATTGTTTAATAAGACTTGAACATTAAATAACGTTAACTCAACAGACATTATTCTTTCAGTTTTTGGTTGAGTTTTATCATATTTCCAAATAAATGAAACACTTGGATCTTCTTCAGTTGATATCCATTCTGAATTTAATTTAGGCGATATTCCATTAAATGGTGATAAAATAGTTTCTAACTGTTCAGTAACAACACTTTCAAGGAATAGTCCAATACTTCTAAATTGTTTGTCTAACCCAAAACAAAGTTGTAATCCTTTTACTTTCATTTTTGAGTAATACTCTTCTTCTCCTCCTTTTTCTTTTCTTTGAACAATAGAAGTAACGGGAACACAAACAATACCATCGTCTAATACAATTTCTAATCCTATTGCAGGAATTTCAGTTGATCTAAAAGCAGGAATGAAAGATTGGTCAACAAAATTTATTGCAGAGGTAGTAATGTCATCAGCACTTTCTTTAACAGTACTAGTGATTTTATTACCAAATGTACTAATTTCCCCACCCATTTTGCTTTGAACATATTCTTTAATTTGTTGAACATATTCATAAATATTCCTAAATGATTTATGATGTAAATCAAAATGAATTTGTTTAAAATACAATTGACTCATAACTAATGCTGGAATACTATCATTTTCATCAAATTTAACTTGCATTTTAAAATCTGCTCTTGTAGGTGGAAAAAGATATGACGTTTTTCCTTTATCACTTAGGTGAATGGCAAATGTTCCCATAACAATACCTAAATTGATTTCTTTTGGTATTTTAATTATTTTGATATCTAATTGATGTTTAAGTTTTTTTGAAATATTTTTATCAACAGTTAATTCATTCCATGAAGGTTGGTTTGTTATTTTTACATTATCTAATTCCATTATAAATGTTCCTTCATTATTAGGAAATGGTCCTTCAAATCTACAACCATTTAATTTAAAGTCTATGTCTATCCTTTTTAATAAATCAAGTGCACATCCAAGTCCAAGAATATCAAGTGCTTGATTCCATTTATTTTTAGCATCTTCAAGAGTTTGTTCTATTCTTTCTTTCATACTAAGCATACTCACATCTAATTCAGATAATTTATCAATAACTGTTACCTTTAAGAATTCAATCAAATTTTTTAACATCTCAAACTCCATTGTAATTCCTACAAAATTTAATTCTCCTTTCATTTTTGTATTAATTAATACATTTCTTTCCCATGTTGTTGTAAGTTCATTTGATAATACAACATCTCCTTCTCTTTCAGGTAATGCCCAAACTAATCTTTTCATATTTCCATGACTATTATACATTCCTTCAATAGTTCCTATAGAAAAACCATATAACCCTTTTTTAATTCTTCCTCCAAATGCAGGAACAAAAGTCATTGAAATATCACCAATAATCCAATAAATTCCTTCATCAGTATCTTCATTTTGTAATGATAATTTTAAAAATTCTAATACAAACTTAAACATTGTTCTTGGTTCTCCTTTTTTCTCTATTTTTTGTAATTTTTTCTCTTGCTTTTTTTCCATCTTTTCCAGTTTTTTCATTGCTTTAATGTCTCCATCAACACACTCAACAGATAACATAGATGATCCTTTCTTAAATGAATAAGGTGATGTTATTGGTGACATGGATAATGATGATCCTAATGATGAACTTGGAATTTTACTCTTTGATTTAGGTGGTGCTATTGGCATTGGTTTTGCTACTGTTCTTTGAATGGACAATGTTGCTGGTGTAGAAGATGTTAATTCAGTATCAATCCTATTTACATTTAATGGTGGAGTAGATGAACGAGAAGTACAAGTAGAATTATTTGTTGAAGGATTCGATGAATTGTTATGAGTGAGCGTTTCATCAATATCAGCATTAACAACATCTAAAATCGCACTTTCAGTTGCAATAGAAAAGAATGTCCTAAAGTAATTAATCAAATTGATGTAATCATCCATAGAGAGATTTAACGATATTTTAGTTAATTCAATAATACAAGAGGTATCTAATAATTTATAAGACTCAGCTTCTCTTTGAGTAGTATATCTTCCTACAACTTCCATTCCATGACATAATGTAACAACTCTATTTCCTGTTGTAAGAGTAAGATCTAAACTATTAACTTGTAAGAATCTATAAGAATAAATAATATTATCTATAGGAACTTCATTTTCAATTTTATTTATTTTATTAAATTGTTGATCAGCAAAATATGTTTCACCACCTTGAATAACAAGATTTAATATAGATGGTCCAATTTTTAATGATAACTTAAAATTAGAAATCTCAACTAAAATAGTGTCTAATAACTCCCTTGATTTCTTCTTCTTAGGTTTTTTTGGTTTTTCTTTTTTATTCTTTTCTTGTTCTTTTTGAATTAATTCTGGTGTTAAAACTATGTCATGTGCATCTACAATAACTTCTCCAAGTCTTAAAATAATAGGTTTTGAATACAGATGTGTCCATGGTACAATAACATCTATAGAACTACATGTCGCAGTAGTGACTTCAATTTGAGATGGTAACAATACCATTTCTCTAAATACGTCTTTAATAAATCCAATATTATGAAGAGTAACAGTTCCTTGTGATGGTGTGATATCAACATCATTTCCAGTTCCCCAATCACTACAACTTTCAATAAATGTTTTGAGGAATTTTTTAAGAATTTTTGATGCAACTAAGTCCATGGTTCTTTAGATATTTTTTAAGTTCTTTCATCTTTTTTTTGATTTGTTTTGTTCAATTTTCATTTAGTTTACTTTTTGTTCAAAAAAAAAGGATAAACAATATTTTTATAAGAAAAGAATAAATTTAATTCAATTGAAAAGTGGTATTAATTGAAAGTGATACAACTTATCAAAATACTTTTTATATTGTACGGAAATTAGGTATTTTTCCTTGTTCTAATAAAAATTGTGTGAATGAGCCAATTGTTTCAGTAATTTCTTGTAATTTGTTAAATGATATGTTGTAAAAACGACACATTTTAAAAATAGTATTTAATGCATCATTATAAAAACTATCTTTATCTCTTCCTAACTCCGAAAAATATGGGTGGTTAATACAATATAATAAAAGAGATGTACCAAGAATTGGAACTGAAATATTAAGTAACTCTGTTGAAAGTAAGGTAGCACAAACATAAGGAAAAATAATTATTGAGTCAAATGATTCTGGTAAAAGAATATCTGACAAATTTACTAATTGAGTAAAAAAAGAGTAAGTGGTAACATATGTTGTTTTGAAATAAAGTGTGTCTAATACTGTTAGTTCAAAATCAAGTAGTTCTTGTTGAGTCCACATTAGTCGAGAATTAGACATATAAAAAATATCCTCACTATACATATCCATTTTAGATGCAATGTCATAAGCAACATATCCAAGTAGTTGTAATGAATCTCTGTTTAATCAATATACTGATATTGTTTAAAATAAATAAAATACCAAACATTGCAAAATTTGGTGTCAGAACTAAAAAATGATCAAAAATTGCTACAGCTTGGTCAATGACAAAATTTGGTTTATAACTATTTTCTTCCATAAGCATTTGAATTACACGAGCTCTCATAGCACCATTTACTGTCCTTCCTTTTTGTGCATAGAAATTAGACAAAAATTCTTTTTTAGAGTTCATATCAAAATACAAAAATTTTTCATTATCAATAGTAAAAATATATCCATCGTTACTAAATATTTCCCTTTCTTCGTTTAATTCATCTTTTTTCCCATATTGACTTAACCCACAATCTACTAAATTCATTAGATTACTCTTAAACGATGTTATATCACTTGAAATATATTCTTGACAACGTCTACAAATTTTATAGGGATTTATTTCATTAGGAAGAGTGACGATATAATGAGATTTTTCATCAACTTTAACAGGAATTCCTGCAGAGACATATTCAATATTGTCTTTCTGCAATTCTTCAGGTTGATTAGGTTGTTCATCGGTAAGGGGTTTTACTG